AAAAAAAAAAAAAAAAAAAAAAAAATTCATCAAGTGTTGGGTCGGGGGTAAAAAGCTAGGGTCCGTCGGGAACCCTAAACAGACATATTTGTTGTTGGGCCTTTTGTAAACCTATCACAAAGTATACTAAGCAGCAACTAATATATACCATTATAACACGATTCGTTTGCAACGCGTTTTTTGATTGGATACGGACAATATTCTAATCTGCGATAGAATCATGAACAATCGTGTTAAGCTTCCCTAAGCCACGCCACGTTTCTAACCAAAACAATATGGCGTCAAGCTAGCCTCTTAGCGAAATCCCGCACATAAGTCTAGCAGGCAACAGAACAGAAACGAATTAACAAATAAAAAGTAAACATTCCTTGTTCTTACCTCCATTTATTATTGAAACTTTCGCTCCATCCGTGTGAAGGCATCTAGTTAGATCCGAAATCAAATGAAACTTTTCACATGTGTCGTATGAATATTTACACAAAATTCCGATTTTGTCGATAAGCACAGATTGGCATACATACTGACATGAAAAAGTAAGAATTTGGTCAATATTAATCCAAATGTGTCGTATAAACTTTGGTAACAGGTCTTACAGATCGAGCGCTAACCAGTAAGGGCGGGCCAAATAACCGACTTTTGAAAGTTCCTTCCGATTGGTCAGTCTGCTGCAGAATGAAAGGTCACAGAGGACTTTACTACGTACTTTTGTACAAGTTAAAACAATGTTTCTAAACATATTAGCGTAGTATATTTGTTAAGCTGTGTTAGAATGGGGATAGTACGTTGTTTTTCGTGTCAATACTTGCGATTAGAACATGAAATTTTGTTTAACATCTCGACCTATCGGTCTCGAGTTCAAACCAAATTTCATGTTCTAATCGCCAGTATAGCCACTCAAAACAACGTTCTATCCCCTAAATAATTAATGGAAATAACAATAGTTTAAACTTCCTTAGAGTAAGGTGGTTGGGGTGAGATATATATTGTACAAGTTTACATGTCATATTATTCAGTTATAGAAATTCTGCCAGTTTCAAGTATATAATTCTGTACAGCTAGAAATATTAACTTATTTTTAGCCAATGAAAACGAATGATCTCCAAATAATAATAACTCCAAAGTAATATTATGGGGCAAACATTGTAGGTAGCGTCTTCACACTTAGCTCAACACTTAGTGTGATCATACCTGTTACATTCCAATAAAAAAAAGTTTATTGTCTTCGAATTCACCATACAAGCATAATGGAGATGGAGCAATATTTTTAGCAAATGCATGTAAATGATCATTTAAGGAGCTACACTCCATTCGTAGTCGTGCGTGAAATAGTTGGCCCTTGCGGGTACCAACGTTGTTATAGGTAGGCGTTTTCTTAGTATGTTGCTTGTCAAGATAAGATTTTAAAGCAGAAGTAGACGGATTTGATCGTACATTTTGTGGAAGACTATTTCATTGGTCTATAACAGAAGGTAGAAATGACTGCTTATAAAAGGAAGTTTTGCTCAATATTGGAGTAATAAAGGTATGGTCGGAGTTTCTGGTATCATATCAATGCCCTTCCGATACAGTACTTGGAATAAGGCTATATAAATATTCAGGTGTATATTGATAGAGCATTTTATGGAACTGGATAATTTTATAATTTTGCCTCCGATCGAATAAACTGACCCAAGCCGATTCATTGAAGTTTGTCAATACTTACTAATTTAGTTGCACCTGTTACAATTCAAGCGGCTTCAATATTGAGGTTTTCAAATTTCTTTAAAAAACCTCATTCGGAATGTTCCCCCACACTATATCTCCATACTCAAGTAGAGGTCTTATAAATGAAAACTATACTGATTGTAAAGTATTTCTATCAAGCTGGAATTTTAAGATTTGCATGAGGTTAAGTTTTAGGTGACGTTTTAGAGATGATGTAATTGACATGATCTGACCAACTACCGTTTGAGGAGAAAAAGACTCCGAGGTGCTGATGGAAAGATACGTTATTTATAGGAACTTGGTTCATATGTGAGAAAGGGTGATTGGGAGAGTTTCTTTTCTTACTTATGAGGATAGTTTCAGATTTATTTGGGTTAAAGTCTACAAGCCACTGGCGTGACCATGCATTATTTTTTTACCTATTCCGATTCCAGAATTTCATGGGTCGTGATTGGATTGTCTACTACCATAGCATTATTATTAAAGTACAGTGTGGAAAACGGGACTTTGTTTGTCATGGCCTGAAAAGCTATTGTAAGATAAAAAAAAAAAGTACGCAATAAAACCATTTTTTTTCTTCACTTTTATAACTTGTGGAGAACACTCAGATACAGTTTGAGACACTGCACATCGCTTAGTCTCTTAACCCATCGTCCAACACATGTACATGTATCTTATTAAACGAAATTGATATGTTAGAATTGTTCACGAACATTTACGTATAGGATCAGGGTTAACAAATTTTGTGAATCTTCTTTCAGAATTACAAGGTTAAAAAGTATTTCACGTCCTCGGAATGACTTTTTCTAATATTTAGTTCGGAATTTCACACGATAGGTCGACTCGTGTCAAAGTGTTTGAGAAAACTATACAGAATATAATGATTCTGAATGCACTTGTACTAAAGAGGCGCCTTATGTGTGTAACTCAGGTTAGTGCAATGATGTTTTGTTACAAATTACTATGTTTAGACACTAGACACAATAAGTGACTAGTCACAACACCACATAGGGCAGTGTACAGTGTAAGCAGCCTTTGAGAAACCATCAAATTAAGAATTTACTACAAAAGATCTACCGTCACCTTTGCCTGCTCAAGATTCCAATATTGTTATTCCACAAGAGATCACCAGGAAATACAGGTTTGTGACACAGTGGATCCAAGTACATGTAATAAATGTTTACAAATGATTCTGGTATCAGCGAGATAAATAACTTCCGTTACTGAACACATTATTAGTGGTCTATATATACTGTTATACATGGGAAGTTTGATAATTGGAATAGACATCACCAATAGTATAGTCTTGTCTATGGCAAGCCAAGTTGTCATTTATTCATGGAGCAATGTTGATCCAGTACATTACCAAATTATATAAGATATCTTATTAAAAGTTTATGAAATATCTTATAAAAGATGTAAGATATATTATATAATATGTAAGATATCTTATAAAAAAATATAAGATATATCTCATAAACTTTTCTTTATAAGATATCTTATTTATTACATAAGATATCTTTTAAAGAAAAGTTTATGAGATATCTTATCAAGAACGAGACTCTGGCGAGACCGACGAAGAAGAAAGTGTCATTATCTCAAATTCAGGGGGGGGGGGGGTTATTATCTCAAATTCAGGGTGTGTGTGTGTGTGTGTGTGTGTTATTATCTCAAATTCAGGGTGTGTGTGTGTGTGTGTTATTATCTCACATTCAGGGTGTGTGTGTGTGTGTGTGTGTGTGTGTTATTATCTCAAATTCAGGGGGGGGGGGGGTTATTATCTCAAATTCAGGGTGTGTGTGTGTGTGTTTGTTATTATCTCAAATTAAGGGTGTGTGTGTGTGTGTGTGTGTGTGTTATTATCTCAAATTCAGGGGGGGGTTATTATCTCAAATTCAGGGGGGGGTTATTATCTCAAATTCAGGGTGTGTGTGTGTGTGTGTGTTATTATCTCAAATTCAGGGTGTGTGTGTGTGTGTTTGTTATTATCTCAAATTAAGGGTGTGTGTGTGTGTGTGTGTTATTATCTCAAATTCAGGGTGTGTGTGTGTGTGTGTTATTATCTCAAATTCAGGGTGTGTGTGTGTGTGTGTTATTATCTCAAATTCAGGGGGGGGGGTCATTATCTCAAATTCAGGGGGGGGTTATTATCTCAAATTCAAATCTCGTTCTTTATCTTGTAACCAAATGATATAAGATATCTCATTTAATTTTGTTTATAAGATATCTTACATAATATATAAGATATCTCTTTTTTATTATTTATATAAAATATCATAACTTTTATGAGATATCTTATATAATATACAAGATTTCATATATTTTAAGAGATATCTTATATGAAGAAAAGTATATAAGATATCTTATTAAGCATATGAGATATCTCATTTATTATATAAGATATCTCATAAAGTATATAGGACATCCTATATAATTTGGTTAAGTACTGGATCAACATTGCACCATGAATAAATGACAACTTGGTTTGCCATACTTGTCATTTAATAAGGCATCGTGTCAACGAACTCAACATTAATGCAAAATATGAGTTGGTAATGTACAATCACAAGTTTGTATATCATCTCATATAATAGGGATGATACACAGCGCATTTCAAAAAGTTTCTTATCCCCATCAGTAAACATTTACTACTGCTTACTGTGATTTAGAAATAGGTCGACATATATTATACATAGCCCGTGAAAGCCAATTTATTTTTTAATAAGACCAGTTCAGAAAAATATGTATTACAGAGTATAAATTAATGAAACTTAGTTTTGTAGAGTGATGTCATCTGTACTAGCGCAGACTTGAAAACGAAGGCGAGTGGAAGGAACTTCGAAACCCCATATGGTTTTCCGAAAGTACAACTATATTTATAAGATATTATATATAAAGGGCACAGTGTGCCTCATTCAGGTATTACATTGTCGTTGCAGTCGATACTGCCAGAATAATCACCTAATTTTACCTTACGTTGAGAATTCTAAACACGAACTCATGACATATATAGCCTATATCTGTTAAGTATATAGGCCATTAGCGTACCTCATTAACGATGTATGGTCTAATAATAACTAATATAGATCTTACCAAACAAACAAATATTAGATTGATATCATAATATACTATTGATATATGTTGGTATTTTTCCAACTTGTTAACAATCTAGCTTATATAATGTATTGTTAACAATTCATATAAATATCTGTAAGAAAAAGGTGACCCATGCATAATCAAACCCTAAAAATGTTATTGGTCATGTGCATTATTGTGTGTATACCACCAGTAGATAGGTCTACAATTTCTATTTTTACTGTTGTTCCCAGAAAACAGATGACAACTGTAAGACATGTTCTTTTTGATATTGTATCTCAGCACACTGATGGTAAAGCAACCTGCTGTCAGTTTGGGATTCCAAAACTGACTGCGAAATTGATGAAAACAGTAAGTCATACGTACCTTAAAAACATTTCAATATAAATTAGCAAGGTACACAAATCACACTTAGCTCAACACTTAGTGTGAGGTTATAATGTTATAACTGAGCTTCAGACGCGTTAATTTGCCAAAGGTCATATGAGCATATTATAAGACATAGTAACCATTCTCCAACCTTTCATCTCATTGTCTCCCGATTTACCTGTGAAGGATTTCTCTGACAACCAATAGCGTATGATTCTATGGCACAAGACACGCGAAACAAAAAATACTTCAGTTCAAATATAGGAAGGAACAGCTTGGAATTTAAAAAATATGTTTTATTAGTAGTTCACCATATTTTATTGTTATATACCCGGTTCCAACAAACAGCTTGAAATTTAACACTTCATCTACAAACATGGTGTAAACTAGTTAGTATAAAAATGTACACCAATCAAGGTCAGTTAATTGTAATACAATGCATGTTAGAATAAATTTTATCAAAACCTGACAAATGTACAAAACAATTGTACGGATGCTTTTCATTCCACAGTATATACTAAGTTATATACACTACTACTAAAGAGAGATCAAAATGTGTATATGATTACACTTATATAATAACAAACATGTAACATACAAATATATATACAGTGTATTTAAATGTGTAGCATAAACATATTGCTCCAGTCACATACATACAAAACCAGAATCTTAATACCAAAAGTACAGTACTTTGTAGGGACCAGACATTTTGATGTAGTTCCGTACATGTACTATGACATTTGGGAACTTCCTAAAGACCTTTCAATATTTTATGAGATTTTAGCACTTGATTATGTAAAAGCAATGCACTCTTTTTTGCTTTTTTGGTGTCTAGTGTGTTGCTTATTTTGTATTTTAACCCTTTCAACACTGTAGACCATAATGGACTCATCCATATCAATGCATGGTAGAGTCTACTAAAGTTACATAGGGGTGAAAGGGTGAAAGATAATTTAGCATTCATTTTGTCTTAAGGTACAGATACTACTATTGCTGAAATGGTTGCAACTCAAAACGGAATATAATTCCAGATTATATTGATCTTCATTCTCATGCCATATCATGTTTTAACAGGGACAGCTCAACATACTGCCCCAAATGATGAATGACATCACATTTTACAAACCCATAATTTTTACACTTGAAAAAGTCAAATCATTCATTTGGTACACAGAGAACAGCTATTTTCTCAATATAATGGGATAAACAATAGATCAAGTGTAGGAGAATAAAGAATTACATTAAACTTCCACAGTTTTAAAGTGTAATCTACTCAATGATGCACTAGACTTGACTTGAATCTCATAGTAGATTATCAATCATACAGTTGTTAATGGAACTATTTTGGGGTTTTGAAAAATAATTTACAGCAGTAAAGGATCAGGTGGTAAATACACTCAGCTACCTGTTCTGTTTATGTTATACAAGATAGTTGTTACTCTGAACTGGTTGGAAATTCAACAATGAAAATCAATTGATTTCTATATAAACATTTTAAAATCTTTGAATGGAAACATTTTTTCATCAAGTTCCACATTCTTGAAATCTTTAATATCGAATTATCAAATGGAAATCATAAAACTGTTATTATGAAAATATTCACATTATGGACATGTTAAAGATAATATAGATCAACTGTTGTAGTTTTGTCAAGTATACTCAAACAACATACAATTAATTTTTACAAAATATAAATGAATCTGTATTTAGTGATACGACCAGATCATATGTCATGCAATGCAAGTAAGTAAAGATTCCATATGGCACAGGTATTAACCTAGTAGACAAAACTTTGAATTAAACTCATCAGCAAATTGCTGGGTGGATTCTGAATTGTCCAAATTTGTTGTTTGGTTCAGTTCAGTTTCAGCTGAGCCATAATATAATAAGTAATGTTTTGCATAAAACAGCATCAAGAGCTATTTCACTCTACTTTACCTGCCAAGTCAATGATAGGAGTACTGCTGCCAAGTCAATGATAGGAGTACTGCTGCCAAGGCAATGATAGGAGTACTGCTACCAAGTCAATGATAGTACTACTGCCAAGTCAATGATAGGAGTACTGCTGCCAAGGCAATGATAGGAGTACTGCTACCAAGTCAATGATAGGAGTACTGCTGCCAAGTCAATGATAGGAGTACTGCTACCAAGTCAATGATAGTACTACTGCCAAGTCAATGATAGGAGTACTGCTGCCAAGTCAATGTTAGTAGTACTGCTGCCAAGTCAATGATACGAGTACTGCTGCCAAGTCAATGATAGGAATACTGCTACCAAGTCAATGATAGGAGTACTGCTGCCACGTCAATGATACAAGTACTGCTGCCAAGTCAATGACAGGAGTACTGCTGCCATATCAATGATACGAGTACTGCTGCTAAATCAATGATAGGAGTACTGCTGCTAAGTCAATGATAGGAGTACTGCTGCTAAGTCAATGATAGGAGTACTGCTGTTAAGTCAATGATAGGAGTATTGCTGCCACGTCAATGATAGGAGTACTGCTGCCAAGTCAATGATAGGAGTACTGCTGCTAAGTCAATGATAGGAGTACTGCTGCTAAGTCAATGATAGGAGTACTGCTGCCATATCAATGATACGAGTCCTACTGCCAAGTCAATGATAGGAGTACTGCTGCTAAGTCAATGATGGTTGTAATGTCACACATTCAATTATGATTGTACTGTTCAACAGTTAAAGATTGTTGTAAGCTGCATAATTTACATTTGTTAACAGAAGCACTTTAGTCTTGTTTCACTGGTACCAGCTTGGATAGCTGCTGTTTGGCATTTCTCGCAAGCTGTTTGGGGTCAGACCCTAGGATGGCATTGACGAGCGTCAGGAACACTGTGGTCATTCCAAAGGCTGCGTGCCACACTGTGAAGCTTGTGGTGAGGATCTGGTTCAGCCCCATTGTGACCAGGAGCAGTACACAGGCCTGTTATATGCAATATATACATTTATCAAATGATATCTTATTGAAAATTATAACTTTCTATTTATAACTGACTTTAAGTATACAATAAAGACAAAAATTCAGTTCATGTTTTGTATCAGGTTACAGAAATATGTTCATGTTACTGATATACACCGTAAATTATTTGCTATCAGCTGTATGATTATCTTATGCACTTGATCAGATCTAGAAAGTGTTGATCTTTTGTCAAAAACCAGTAGACTTGCTCAAGGCAACATCTAGATAAAAAAAAAAAATGGTGATAATCATACAGACTTCTCACTTCTAGCCAGTTTACTGGACTACTAGCTATATACACTTCACCTTTCAATAGTGAAAAGGCATAACTTCAAATTTGAAGTCCTGTATTTCACGTGTTCAGTATTTCTCATATTGAATTATCCCTGCTTGATATATAACTTTTCATCAATATTGGTCTAAAGATTCAAACTAGCCGATATATTTTATCTTTGAAGTACCTATTTAATTAATATACCAATGTATGTCAACACTTACTAATGCATGGCTAAGAAGTACTGCTTTCTTGTCATCTTCCCGCAAGAAATTAGAGGCTCTCCCCGACATGAAAGCCAAGGCGATGAATCCCACTCCCATCAGTCTGGCATTCTGAGCATGGGTAGCATCCAGTGTGAACGATGAAACCTGCAGTGAATCAAGTGATATGTAAATGATATGTAACTGGACCGGAGCTTTACATCTCTAAGTAAGGCAAAACAAAAAGGTAGACAGTTCAGTTGACAAATGAGGAAAAAAATAAAGGCAATTTTTGTCTGGTGTCATTTTTAATAATTCCCATTTACAAAATGTACTGATATTTCCTGATTTAGAATTATAGGCTTCATTTAGCCAGGTTTTTTTTATTTGTTTTGTTTTTATATTTCTTTTCTGATTTGATTTTAGGAGGGTCAAAAGGATTTAGGCACATTTTAAGTTGCAAGAAACTGGACCTAATATCCGTTTGATACTAATTAATAAAATATGCTTGAATGATTTTGATCCCCACAATAAACAAGCATCTTTTCCCAAGAAATCGTGAAATCAAATAACATTTTTTCAAAATCTTTTCATTAAGTGTGTAATACATGTATTTAAATTTGAATAACTTTTGGTGAACGAAGTATCTAATATCAATACTATTTATGGTTTTTCAAATGACATTTTGGCAGAAAAGCAATTGTAATAGGGTGGGCAATATTCTGTCTTCCCCAAGGTAGAGAGTTTGAGGCCTTTATATGACTATCATACTTAATGTCTTTTACTATGCGATACGTCAGCTATAATCTGTCCGACAATGTGCTTCCAGTTTGTATGGGGATTTCTCAAAGAGAAGTGTAGTATCATTTATTTTGTTTGGTACATGTACCTTGAATGGTTATTCACACGCAAATTGTACTGTCAGCATTAAGTGTTTTATGTGCCTAACTTTATACAACAAGAGCACCGCGAGTGGAAGCATGATGTGACATATGACATAAATGTGTTTACCTCCACCGTTTTGTCGGTGACTGTGACCTTGCCATTCATTTACTTTGCTTATGGCACAAGCTATTCTGTATTTCAGAATTACACTTTCGTGGTCAATGTTGCTATTACTAAAACTAGAACCTTGGCTTTGAGGTAGGAGTCTTGAACAAATAATCCAAAAGTTTGGCAATGAAAAAGGGACATAACTCTGCTAAATAGCGTTTTTAAAAATGTCACGATTCAAGAACTCATTCAAAGCATTAGGTTATTAGACAACCAAGCAGTTTAATAAAAATCAGAAAACAAATGTTTGAGTTATCGTGTAAACAAGGAAAAGTTGACAGCAAAAATGAAGAACTGTAGTGTTGCTATGTTGAGCGTGATATGCCAAAACGCAGGAAGTTGAAACTCAACAAAAAAACTAGAAATATGTGTTGAACATTATTGCTTCTAGCATTTACTACACAGAGCCCTTATTTGGCAATGAAAGGGACAAAACTCTGCCGAATAGCATTTAAATATCACGATTTAAGAACTCATTCAATGCATTCAGGTGATGAAACATCCCACCATGTTTGACAAAAACTGAAAAACAATTGTTTGAGTTATCGCGTAAACAAAGAAAAATAAACAGCAAAAATGATGAACAGCATTACTGTCAAGTGTGATATATATATGCCAAAACGTGGAATCTTGAAACTGTTACTCTACAGAAATTTTTTTATATATATTAAACATTATTTCTTCTAGCATTACTATACAAAATTTGAAAGGAATTGATTAAAAAAATAAATTAAAAAGGTCTTGCATTTACTACACAATGCCCTTATTTGGCAATAAAAGGGGCATAACTCAACCAAATATGCAAGTAAACTTCTGAAATGCAAAATTATTCGAGCTATATTGGTATGCGGTATGTGTACCAAGTTTAATCAAGATATGTTCATGAGTGAAGGCAGCAGAGCAATGACAAGGAAAAGTTAACGGACGCACATCGGACATCAGTCAACACAGCCTATATACCATAATACGACCCGTCGGGCGATGGGCATATAATAACTTGATTTAAATTGAAGAATGATTTTAAGTTCTTAACAGATATACATGTATCTTCTCCCAATACATCTACAATGTTTGGAGCCCATTCATGAAATTGGCTAAGATATGGTGTAGAAAGCTGAATTACAATTAATTCATTACTTGAGGTGAATGTAAAAAGTCCAATTGAGGTAAAAGTGACCTTTTGTATGATGTCACACCAACTTTCAATGAGGTACCTATATACAATCTTTGATACCAATCAACTCATAAACAGCAGCTGAGATGTGCTCCGGATATATTTTTTGGGTACTGGTGGTCAAGATATATGATTAAATTGAGGTTACAGTGACCTCGGTTAAGGATGTGACATACTCGTTCCTTAGATATATATACTTATATACAAAGTCTGATGCTCATTCACGAAACAGCAGCTGAGATATGCTCTGGAAACCAGTTTATGAGCGCGATCAACGATGAAGGTTAAATTGTGGTCATATTGACTTTATTTTAGGATGTGACACACTGCCTCCCGATGGTATATACATGTATTACAATGATTGATGTGCAAACCTATTCTTTAAACAGCAACTGAGATATGCTCAAGAAACCATTACATGAACACTTGAGGTCAAGATCTAAGGTCAAATAGAGGTCACAGTGACCTCATTTTAGGATGTGACATATACCCATTCATGATCTATATGGTCTGATTGATGCCTGTTCATGAAACAGCAGCTGAGCTAGGCACCAGAACTACAGTTAGCAGGGATGGATGGACACATGCACTTGCGCCAAGATAAAACAAATACATGTACTTTATACCCCTAACTTCGATGAAGCTGGGGTGTATAAACAAATTATTATACACAACTATAAACTCACCACTTGACAGGAGTATATGATTTGGGGGTAGATGACTGCTGCAAGACCAGTTAAGAACCAGATCACAAAGTCCAATCGAAGATGAGTATTACGGCATGAGGTGGACACTTCAACATAACCTCCCCAATCCTGTTGTCTCATTGAGTGGAATACGAACAGTCCAAACCATATCAGCAGGTTGTGTACAGCTAAGTTCCTCATCTGTTAAATATCAAAACAGCAGAGGCAAAATGGTCATTATATTGTAGTAAGTGAGGTTCAGTTAATCAAAACAAAAACAAACATATGTGCAGAGACTTGTACTCGTTTATTATAGATGTTTTTCTCCCTCCAAAGCATTGTTCCTATGCAGAGCAATTTTAATTATCCTGGTGTTCATGTGTTAAACAAGGAAAGAAATACAAGATTGTTTAGATCAGATAGGATCTATATACTGTAGATGAGTGATAAGTTAGTTGCCTCCTCCAGATACTAGTGTCCACATACAGAAGCATTTAACAGTGGATGTACATGTTATACAAGGATTAAATGTGCTAGATACTTTTTAGAGTCCAGTTGCAGAAAAAAAGCATTTCTTATATGATTCTTTTCAGATAAATTATCCTCTGCCAATGTTCTATGTGTAATTAATGATAATGAACTATATACATGTATATCAATCATAACCTCTCGAGACATGATTGTACATAGTTAAATCACACAACTATATGTTCCACCTAATATTATATAAACCCCTACCTTTTTCTAGTTTAGATTGAAGTAACTTCCCCCAGAATAATATGGCTTTTTCAAGAGTTATCGAAAGTTCTATAATTTTATTTTTCCTGTTGTTAAGCATGTATTGGTAATTTGATTTGACGTCAAAGACTGTGACAGTCACGTCACACAGAATTATTGTTCCCAATATGAACATACCATTTGGCTAATTGTTTAATCTATACTCACATTTGGGTTCACTTTGGGATTTTTTTTGGACAGTGCTGCAGCTTCCATCATCAGACAACAACCAGTCAACTGTAATGACAAGTAAAATATCGCTATTCTTACTAATTCTAGTGTACATTATTGGAATTGGTTGTAGAGAGTGTAGGTGATCGTAACCCCTGAAAATCGAGGATGCCCAAACAGATGATGCTTGATTATGGTATTTATCTAACTCTTGAGTGAGTTGATTTTCAAAATCTTGTCTTCAATTTGAATTTATGCAAATTAGTTTGAAAATTATTGATTCAAGTTATATAAACATGAAAACATCATGAGTTTGGGAAACCTATACATATATGTGCAGAAGAGCTTTTATTTTGCATTTTGATGAAAACTAAATAAATATATTACTATTGATTGATGCTACAGTTTAATACAACCCCTGAAAATCGAGGATGCCCAAACAGATGATGCTTGATTATGTTATTTATCTAACTCTTGAGTGAGTTGATTTTCAAAATCTTGTCTTCAAATTAGTTTGAAAATTAATGATTCAAGTTAGATAAACATGAAAACATCATGAGTTTGGGAAACCTATACATATATGTGCAGAAGAGCTTTTATTTTGCATTTTGATGAAAACTAAATAAATATATTACTATTGATTGATGCTACAGTTTAATACACACCAGAGTCATGGAAAAAAAATAGCTGCTATGTACAGTACTGTCTGTACTCTTCATGGTCAAGAAGAATGTCATGCCAATTGCAATGTCTATTATCCCAAGGGAGCGGATCTCTTGAAGATGAAGGACATCAGGTTCCACATTTTCCTAGGAATAACGAATAAATAAGCGTAAGATATAACAGAACGTTTTATTTATATTCCAAAAGGTATCAAGTAAAATTCCAAATGCTTGTCTAGTAAAATATGGTGAACACTGAACACCAGTAAATCAGGTGGAAATTTGGCTGATTGAAAAACATGTCAATGCAATTGGCCAATGGCTGCATCTAATCTGGGATATCTGTAATTAGTAAGAAATATTTTTTATTATAAGCACACATACATGTGTTTCCAGTTGTCATGGGCAAGTGAAACTGACTAGGGCAATTAGACAATAGACCAGAGGTGGTATGCGTTATTGTAAGAAGATTTTTCTGTGTTAGTTGTCTGTCCGACGAGTAAACAAGTTTTTCTGTAGTGTAAAAGATGTGCTTTGATTAGGTTGCCTTACAATCATCAGCTGTAGGGAATTTCCCTTTAGCTCAGCGGGCTGAAGAGCCAAGAGCTGCAGGTTTTAGCCCCAGTGACGGCACTATCTTTATCACTATTCTTTGTCCTACTACAAACTTGTGCCAATGATCCTCCCCGTTTAAGGTATAAATAACCTAGGTTGGTGTTTGATAAAAGGGAAGGGGATAGTGTATAAGATGTGCATTGATTAAGTTGCCTTACAAGCGTCAGCTGTAGGGAATTTCCCTTTAGCTCAGCGGTAGAGCATCATGTTGGAGAGCCAAGGGTGGCAGGTTCGAGTCCTAGCGACATTGGGCTGGAGAGCACTACCTTTATCACTATTCCTCGTCCTTCTACAGTAGCATAACTAAATTTTATATAAAAAAATAGCTGTTAAAATATTTGGAAAACCAACTCTGTCACCCGATGCTACAATCAATGTATGTATACGTATATAGATGTTATGTGAAACCTTTTTGTGTTATTCAATAATGGCAGGCGCAAGTATTGAAATAATTAATAAAACCTATAATATCTCCAGCCCAAGCGATAGAGCATCGGACTAGAGAGCTAAGGGTTGCAGGTTCGAGCCCCGGCAACATTGAGCTGGAGAGCCAAGGGTCGCGGGTTAGAGCCTCAGCAACGACACTATCTAGCTATGCCCAAGCTAAGGGGAGATAACTCCAATTGAATTTTCGTGCCGCGCCAAAATTTCGTCACACTTTTATACCAGCGGAAGAACGGTGATTTTATCGTGCTTGTCCATGTTATAGAAATGGATACATGGTAGAAATTTTATCTTCGATATCCCTCGTCACTTTACTACAGTCTATATTACAAATATCATGGCGGAAACGCAAGGAGCGGAGATTGTGAAATATTGCAGAAGCGACAATTTCCTTATAAAACCGAGTACATCCATCAAAATTATATACAAATGTTCAGTAATTATCCCTTAAAATAAGTATATATATATGCCAATCTGTCAAAACCGTTCTTGGTATGAAAAATGCTGTTGAAATCCCAAGGGGTAGTATAACGGTAAATCCAATATGGCGGACACCTCGCCTCGAAAACGTAAACAAATCCCACCTGTACCAGACAAAACTCGCTAGAAGGATATTGCATTAACGGTTGTTTACCTATCGTGTAAAGGTATCTGTTCTCTTTGTTTTCTGTATATATTTTAAACATTAAATGATGTATATTTGTATAAATTTCGGTACTATTTACTTGTTTCTAAATGATTAAACTTTTAAATTAAGTTACTGTCACTCAGTCTTGACTTAGTTTACATACGCTGATACAGTTAGAAATTGAATAGACCTAAATTTAAATTTATTTCGAGTTTCAGTGTTGTCTGACATACAAAAACTATACAATGGTTGGTCTGTACATAGTTTACATTAAACATATCTAATTGATATGACATGCTTTTGTTTTTCAATATCATTTTTTTTTTTTTATATAAATAAAACTTGTCAGATCATACACCATGTACAAATACAATTTTTTGTTTTTAAATATTATTTTAATGATTTATCTGACTAAAACATATCAGATCATGTGTAATTACAATGAGTATGCTTGAAGACAAGTACCCTTCAGACTCCTGGGTAAGCAAATGCCACAATAAAAGGAGGGGCTGGTATATACATTAAGTACCCCAACTGAGATCAACAATCAGAAGCAATACCAACAGGCCTACATTGTTCAAACTACTAAGTTGAAGAAGACCTTATTCATGCTGCACACTCCATCAAAAACAAAATTGATAACACAACTCAAGTAGTATTCCTGACTGATGCCCTCTCTGTGCTACAAGCTTTGACAAACGACAAGCTTAACCTCAACTTGAACAAGCTTTATACACCATCAAAAGTCTGACAACAGTTCTACAGTGGATTCCTTCTCACTGTGGAGTTTGGGGTAATGAACAAGCCGATAAATTAGCAAAGAATGGTGCTGAACAATAACAGGAAGAAAATCCAGTCTGCTACACAGAGATGAAGACTATCATCAAATCTCTGTTCAACACCCATCAGCAACAAGACAGTTACCACCAACAAGATCTGACCAAACTACCATCTTCCGACAGGACACAACAGACTCAATCAACATCTATACAAAGTCATGAAAGTTGTTTCATCTCCAATGTGTCCTTGTGGAGAAGCAGAGCAGGATACTGCACACCTCTTACAGCCATGGAAGATCCATCAGGCACTGATCATGAGAGATAAGATATGGCATTCACCAACCGTTACCACTCAAAGAAAAGCTATGTGGACCAGTGGATGCCCTTAGCACATAAGACCACCAGATAAGTTGAGGAGACTGGTATTCAAATGTAAAGGCGAACGATAAGAAAGAAGATGTGTAATAACCACCGAGACTGGTGCATCAATATATATAATTAAATGAGATTATTAATGTCATTCATTGTGTTTTGTAAGGGGAGGTAACTCTTTGTGAAGTAACATTTTAGCATCATCTCCGGAGTGAGGGGTGACATTTAGCATGGAAATCTTTCATTTTACAATAGAATAGATTGGTTTTGAAATTGTGGTAAAAAAAGAGAAAACAAATTCTCCCATATATACCATGTTATTGACCTTGTACGCTTTTTTGATTGTTTTCAGGAAAATGCTAAAAAACAATTGTGAAATTTCACGATTTCAAAAAATTCGTAAAAATCCAATTTTGAAGATAACATGGTTCTGATTGCTGTTTTGTAATCAGGTTATGGTAGTCTCTAGGAAAATGACAAGAAATAAATCACTTTTGGTTTAAACAAAAATAGTTGGGCATAGCTACACTATCTTTATCACTACATTCCTCGATCTACTACAGTAGCATAACTTAATTTTAAATAAAATAACAATGTCAACTTGTCACCCAATGCTACAATATAGTTACGTATAGACATCCGTTTCTTTATAGTTGCACCAGACCTTCTTGGCATAGAAGATGTATTCAATAATGCCAGAAGTAAATATTGAAATAAATAAATTAACCATCCCCCCCCCCCCCCCCCCCATCATTTCCGGACTTTTCAGTGTGCTAAAATTATACGGGAGTACTGAAACAGGATGTAATATGGCATGCCATATGCATCTTACCGCAGCAAAGATTTTGAAGGCTATTTCTGGGAAGAGCAGTAATAATATTCCCTCAAAGAATATCACACAACTAAACCCCTTCACCATGAACTTGGCTCCAAACGGCACGAGAATTAGCAACACGACCACGGCAAAAACCGTTGCCGCAGCCACAGTCGTGTCTGTTGTCAACACATCGACGTGTTCCTTGAACATATCAACAACCCAGTCCCTTGCAGCCTCCATGACTTCAGATAATTGTAACTATCCAGTCGATTTGTTTAGGCCTACGCTAAATTCGAATTCCCTCCTTTCTTTGTCAATCAACGCTTTGCGATTGTGGCGGCCTCTGGATCTGTAGCTCGGGGACGCTTGAATATCATTTACCGAGATCGCACTCCCTTTTCCGGTTGATCCGCTACCACCAGATTCCAACACGAGAAATCAATGTACTGTTTTTTCACGGCGGACTAACCGTTAACACTATACAATTGCAATGAAGCAGAGAATTCGAAGTCACTGACAGTGGAGAGATGACCATATTTATTCAATTTGTTAGTTGCTACTCATTTTGAATTTTTGAGCAAAGTCTTCTTTGACATTGAATCCCATATTTAGAATCAACGGCTTTGGTTTAGTAGTCAAAATTCCGTGCCAAATATCAGAAACAAGCAGAATATGTGTCTATACCGCACTGCTCCGCTTTCATTTATTCGTTTGAAACGGTTCATGCATTATGATAAATGGCTCAACAATATAGCGAATAAGTCTTTAGTCAGAAGTTCGATCAGACAAGGCATCATTTAATACCTACCGTACAATGCCAACGACCAGCCCGGCCCGAATTCGAACCATAGACCTCAGAACCTGGAGACTGGACGCTCTGGTAGCGACTGAGCTTCCTAGTCGCCGGTAACTGTCACAGTTCAGTTCCGCTACATTCCTCCCTCCATTAAAGTCTTCAACCCAACTGAAGACACGAACAGTAGTTTCTACTTCTATAATTTTCATAAGTAAAGTTTGGCCCCGGGGTAAGTCCGGCCACCATTCAGTGATATTTTTAGTCTTGAACAAATATCTCACTTTGATGATCTTTACAGTACAGTTGATTTGGTGGTGCTTTCATGAGAGAAAAAAAACCCAAGGGAAACTCAGTCTTTAAATTACTAAAACATGGAGAGAAAGTTACTTTTGGGAGGGTAAAATTAAAATCATGACATCACCTCTTTCTGGTTTTGCGAACGTGAAATCTGATGTTGCATGCTTTATGATGTCATAATTATGCTGTTTTCAACGTGGGTACACCAGACTGCCTGTCCGAACTTGCCCCAAGGCGGGACACGTTCGACCATCCAATCTTCAGACAAAAATTGTGAAATTCTTCCAATATGTTTGCCCTTTTGTTATTTTTTATGAGAGGCATGGAATTTCTCTTCCAAATGGTGAACAACACATAAATTGTAACCAAATGTCATGCCTTTCAGAGCGACTTAAATAGAAACGGGCCTCCCCATATTTAATTTCGGCCCCAAATAAAGCATCAATGAAAAATGCAACGGCCAGCTCGGGATTGGGACCTCCAAATCTTTGACGGACGCTCTAACCAATTGACTTACCTGATCGCAGGTGGTCGACCCAGTCCAGTTTCGCTACACATGTGACAAGGACAGAAACATGGTAACAGCAACTCGCCATCATACGAATATAAACCAGATACACAATACACAGTCTACACAAATCCTACATCAAAAATGTATCTTTAAAGTCATATGCCGAGTCATTACCACCGATTCCAGGAAGCGTTCTCAACAGACAAAATAAAACAATACTGGTATCAGACAAATGTACCCACCCATTTCAGAGAAACAAACATCATAATTTCAAAGCGACCGGACTAGGTCTAGTACACTGTACATGGCAGAATATCATAGAAGTCGGAGACATCATTGCATGATCCACAAAAATATTCACAAAGTCACTTCACAGGGACCACTACTAAAAGACTCGAAACATCCAAACGTGAACCCTATGCATACGAAAAAGGAGACACGTACATCACAAAAAACTACAGTGTATATGTGCAGATCCATATCGCTTACACACAACACGACATGTGACTCCTCGAATGCATAATAAATAGTGCAATCAGATCATCCATCCGCGATACTCCAGCGGTTACGCTCACTTTCGCTCTCTACACCCCCGGAATATGTCATAGCAAAATTGAAGGCACAGAGACAGCTGTTTGATTGGTCACAGGTAAAAAAACACCTGACCAATCACTAGGCTGATACTTGTCCTTTGAAGATTACAAAAAAGGAGCGATGCCCGACTTTAAAGCCTGTCAAATTTTACCGTTAGGCGACCGCGAGATTCTTTTGATGTACATCAAAGGACCAAATTAGTCTTCTCGTCTCCTTCGATTTTGCTATGACATATTCTAGGGGTGAAGAGAGCGAAAGTGGGCGTAACCCCTGGATATCGAGGATGATTCTAGGGGTGTAGAGAGCGAAAGTGAGCGTAACCCCTGGACACTGAGGATGATTCCAGGTGTGTAGAGAGCGAAAGTGGGCGTAACCCCTGGATATCGAGGATGATTCCAGGGGTGTAGAGAGCGAAAGTGGGCGTAACCCATGGATACCGAGGATGAAGGGAGTGTAACCCCTGGATATCGAGGATGTAGTGAGCGTAACCCCTGGATATCGAGGATTGGGTGTAGAGAGCGAAAGTGAGCGTAACCCCTGTATATCGAGGATGAAGTGGGCGTAACCCCTGAATATCGAGGATGCCAATCATCATGATACCGCGAAACACAACTAATACAAGACCTCTTACAAAACAATAACTAACAGACATCATCATCGTAATAGATTATGCCAGTGCTATTGACTAAGTCCCATACAGCACAAATTGAAACACTATGACATTACTTACAACTCACAAACAACACGACAAAGCAGTTTTACTTAAGGGCGAACACTCAAACAGGTTAATTATCTGTACCATCTGGGGTGTCTCTAAGTATATTTGTTTGGGCCCAGTCATCTTCCCCATATACAATTTTCCAGAATGCATAATAAATGACATACTCTAGCTATTTTCAGCTGACAGTATACAATCATGTATTCTGCAAATCAATAAATTATAAAGACAAAGGACAATACAACACGACTTAGATGCAGATAGCAATTTCACCCATCCAGACAAATACAATCTACTAACAACTTCGTTAAAACGCCTGCAAATCAAACGTCACTTTACACTCCACGACCACAAATTAGAATCATCTAACCCAAGTAAATACATAGGACTTAAATTCCTAAAAAAACTAAAATGCTACGAAAACATCAACACTACTATATTAAACACCAATAAATCACTAGGCGTCTTAAAACTTTACATACAAGTATATTCATCCCGCATCATAGAACATGCATATTCAATGCCATTTGAAAAAAACTACATGTAAAACTAGAAAACTACTCTTCAGTCGTAGATCTACACTACACAAACAAAAATCATATAAAAACAGCACATATATAAGCAGCACGTTACGTCAATCAATAACAGACACACGCAACACAGCCACAGCCATGCATGTTATACACAGTCACAGACATGTTATATTCAATAGTCAATGGTCAACAATAGGACAAGACCAAAACTCATCTTCTCCATCAAAATAATACACCATGAAGTTGCATTAACGACACACATCATCAGTCATGCAGACTACAGAACACGACAGGTAATAACGTATGCTTCAGACACATCTTCAAATCTAAAGACACATATTTACTCTTTCTGACCAACATAGGACTTAAATTCCTAAAGAACCTAAAATTCCCTGCTTAACGTTCAGCATTTAGGGATATAGCAACAACTGGTTCACCCTTTGTCAGTATAATATGTGACCGGACGGAATGCTGTGCTGGGTGCCTTCGGCGTGGCATTTCAGTGAGAAAGTACTATAAAGTCGGCATCAGATCCGCGCTGTCACAAGGAGACAAGCACACCAACATACCCTGTCTCCTGCATACATATACACATGGAGACACGCTTTAAGTCTTTAAAATTGACCTAAAATGGCACAAAAACATCAACAATATTACTCCTCTCAATAATATCATTTAAAGCACATTACCTGAAGAATTCTAAACAATTTTAAAGCACCACGTACAACATGATAAAACAAATAACAACAAAACAACGGACCCAACTAGTTTTTCATCTCTTTTATTCTAAAGCAAAACACAAATGATTTGTTTAAGATCTCTGTAAATGATAAATCACGCTGTGCTGCACTCCCCTACGACTGTCCATACTCATCATCATTAATGGAGGATAGATAATTGATGACGACGTATGAGGACCACTTTTTGCTATGTAGTCTTCGTTGGGCTTTGATGTAGCTATATTAAATGAATAGACTATGTACAAGAACGTGTGTTTTTAGGTCATCACCAATACATTCAGGTAAACTTAATCACGTTTCTCAATGATATTTTCAGAAAATATTCATGCACTTTGTGTAGAAAACTAAAGTGAGAGAGAGATATGCACTACTAGCAAAATTTAAGCCTTTTAAACAGAAATGTATCGAGTTTGGTGGAGAAAAGATTATCATTTAACACTGAATTATTTAAAGTAATTGTATCGTAATTTAAAAAAAGCACGTTCATTTAAAGGTGAATAAAGATCCGAAATGTGACTTAACAAAATGTTCGTTATCTCTTCTAAATTTAGAACAGTAAACAATACAAGGTATAAATACATGTATGAATAGTACAGTCGTGTCGCACACACTGTGTACATGCGTGTAATTATATATGTGTGTGTAGAGGATGTGAAGTTAAGCCTGTGAATACAGATACATTTGTTTACCGATGTATAATCTGTATCAGTGACATTGTTGACCACTTCCTTCATTTGAAGTAAATCACAGCACAACGCAGGTCATGGCTACTGGGTGAGTATACTCGTGTCGGTAAATACAATCCGAACGAGTCCACGTGAACAGTACTTATCGTACAGCTTTACCCTGCACGTATCTATCACGCAAGGGTAACAAGGCCTTCATATGAATTGTTAAACATGTGGAAAAAAATAATTTATCAATAACTGGTATACATCTATGCATTCTTACAGGGTTCCACTATCCCGGCGCTAGGGCTCGGGATAGCTCGGGATAGTGAAATTTAAATACCGGGGATACCATAGTGACGTTTTTAGGATGTCATGAATAATAAAAATGCTTCTGTTCCTTTCTAGTATCATGACGGGTAGCAATTAAGATTTTAAACCTGTAATTTTCTTGTAATTTTTACTACAATATCTATCATAACACATGAAGTATTTCACGCCGTATTGATATGATGCAAGACATTCTGATGCCTTTCACATACATGTGTGCTAATCCCTATGTGCAATAGTAGGCACTATTCACAGCTTACATAGCAATGAAAGTCTATACTAACCACCAAAATGCCCTTCTTTGTTGCAAATCATTCTCTTTTATGTGTGGTTCAGAAATAAAGTTCATGTCTCCAAAATTGATGCTTTAATTTCTAATACTAAAACCTGAACCCGGACTGATTTTCAGGCAGAGTAAAACAAAAATAATTTGTAAAACTATTTTTTTTAGTGCAAGTCTCAACAACTTTTAAGACATGCAGTTATTAAATAAAAATACGTTATTTTATTTAGGGAAAAGATGTCCATCTGTGAATGTGATATAGATTGTGTGATCATGTTGTCAACGTAATCCATTTTGTATTTATCGGGCTAGCAGAATTTTATTTCGGGCTAATGGATTATTAGTGTCTACTAGCCCCGGGCTAGTGTCTTGAAAAACCTTTTTACACCCCTGAATTTGCAGAAGAAAAATATGACAGCACAGTAGTTTAATTGTGTTTGTACAGCACCTGATACTCTTAATATTATCAAACATCTTATGGTACAGCTGTTGATATTGAAGTATAAATGCAAATAAAATTACATGTTATATTGCATATAATAAGAGTTTGCCACAATCTTAGTATATCATGTTCCATACTTGACCTATTCAAATAAATCTAGGTACAAGCTTTGACAATGTCTGACTATCATGATCGCTACTGTTATCTAGCCTGGTCTGATAAAAGTGTGAAACAATAACAGTACTAGATATATATATTTACCTGACAACATCTTTAATGATATACAGCATGGACAGGCCAGAGTTTGGACGAGACATTAGGGAGAAGGAATTCTGTATGAGGAAAGGTGCTACCTTTATTAACCATGGGTCCTACGGTATGGTGCCGCGACGTATCAAAGAACTCCAGTCAAGGTAAAGGCTTATCACCAATGACGCGTTTCTAGCAGATTCAAAGTAGTTCGATTCTAAGTCTCTTCAGGATTTCTGTACCATTGCCAAGAAGAACAACTTTGCACTGGGAACCTATTTAACGATTTCTGAAAAGAAAACCATACATTGCTGAGCTTTTATGAAAAATAATAGAAATGAATTAAACCAAACAATAATCAACAACAGAGTTCCGATTGAAAACAAATCAACGGGACTATAGCGGGATGCGAACCCTGTTGGACTTCAGGTTGTTATACTATCGCTCTAGGTGAAGGTGCTGCCTAGTCAACGGAGGTGTCCTGGCCCAGCTATGGTACATTTGTTACTGTGTACATGAACAAAAACACAGTGCAGTGGGACAGGGTTCCTCAAAGAAACACGTTTCTGTGCAATTCGATGAGCTAGAAAGCAATTGATGGATAATGTGTAGAAGTTGCAATGCTTTGATCATGTTATGAGGCAATAAAATAACGCAGGAAGTCAATAGCATCTGTTTTCAAATGTATTCACAGTGTTTGCCAATGTCGTGTTAAACAGCGGATAGAAACCTATGCTTAGATAGGTACTATGTACTATGTACATAAACGACGACTTAAAGAATTGCTGAAATCATTGGTGAAAAATTACTAGATTATAGTTTGGTAAAATTATACCTTACGAGTGATATGTGGCATACGATTGATGATTAATTGACGCGAGAACATAATATTATCCCAGGGCAAAGGATTCGCTTGGCAGTTTACCTTGCTTAACGATTTAATCCCAGTGGATAACTTGAGATTAAACAGTTGGTGAAGTCGAAGAGAAGGAATATTTATTGCACGTGGTCGAATGGCACTTATAAGACTACATGATGTTGTATTCATGACAAATAAGATATTAAAGAACGAAGTACGTCAAAGAATGCACTACAGCACGCATTTGGTATATGTTGCATGCTTAATCTTGTTTTAGATATCTGTACCAGACAGACGCACACCCAGATGATTGGTTCCAGAGAAAGATCAAGGGTCTGTGGATGGCAGCTCGGGACGCAGCTGCATCAGTTGTCAATTCGGAGGTCGATGACGTTGTTATAGTCCAAAATGCGACTACTGGTAACTCAACAACAATATCACTATATGATGCTAATAATGACTATCACGGTTTATTGGCATGATAAAACACCACACTTCTGGACTTACAAAATACATACCAAATGAAGCGTTTGATATGAAGTGCATGCAGTGTATATAGACTTGGAAGTAATGCCTTATCTTGAACGTTACAGATTTGCTACCAGAACCAATATAGGTAGACCATACCTAGCAATATGAAGCAACTAGTTATCTTAACTGCTACATTGGTGTTAAGAGAGGCTCAAACGCGGTCTATTTATAGAGTATTTATATTAAATTAACTACTCTAACGGAATGAACTGGTAGTCTATTGAGAGAGAAATACATTATACATTTTTATATAAAGTCAATTTTAAACTTGCACTTGTATAGGAGACAACTTGTGTTATACTAAAACAGTTACCACTTTTACATTTTTCAATTACAGTTATTTTCATGTTTACTGAACCTGTGAAATACGTTTAAATCTTGTTTTATTCTAGTATAAGACATTTTCATGATATCGATTAAATCATTACCAATATCGGAGTAATCATGCATCTGAAATATGTGACAAAAATAGAACCTATTGTTTCTAGACCTTTTTTATACAAGTTTTTAAAAACAGTGCTATATGAGTATTTGCTTTTTTCTATCAGGTATCAATACGGTATTAAAAGCTCTCCAACTGACGGAAACGGAAGAAATCCTGGTCACTAACAACACGTATGCAGCTATATGGAAGACAGCTCACCATATCTCCACGGATGGTTCTGGTATAAGTTTTTGTACATTGTATATTGACATACAAGAACAAGCGTATTTCGGGGACAATCTTTATTGTTACACAGAAACAGATAAATTCTATCTAATTTGAGCTGTATTATACAATGGCCTCAACTATCTTTAATAATTTGCATGACTTTTTCTTCCGCTCTAACGTAAATGTGTGATGGCAATGTTTTTGGTCAATCTTACTTAAGCTGTATAACACATGACCCAAAGTATGTTTAAGGACGATTGTACTCCATAACGTAAAATCATTTGGTGAAGATCATTATCATACATAAACGTTGTCTGTGTTATTATGCACAATAGTCTGTATTCATGAAACCGTTCTCACGCTCCAGTATGGATTTTGTGCTTAAGCCCTATTTCCTGTTCCTGTTATAAATTAATAAAAACAACCTTAGTTTATCAAGGGTATAGAAGAAAGCCAAAGACTGTTTTCAATGTTTACATGTTACTTTTTGATCGTTTGACATGGTTTAAATGAGTTACAAGAAAGTTAGTTTGAGCACAGAATCCATGCTTGATCATGAGAACTGTTTCATGAATACGGACCCAGGACGTCACTGACCCCAAATAATATTCCTATGTAGGAGGAAAGTTACACGTGCTCGACATTAACTTCCCTATCCAATCAGAAGACGAAATCGTACAACAATACCGAGATTTCCTCAGCCAACATCCTAAAGTCAGGATTGCTGTGCTTGGTGAGTTACTTTCTGGTCTTTGCATTGTGGAACCAAGATATTAAAGAGAGAATTGCAATTTATGTAACATTAACAATGATAGGTTGCAAAATCTATCTCTTACAACATATAATACAGAGACACAAACATATTTAATCGATAAAGATTCTAGATATATTTAAAATAGATTGATTTCATAGCTCCGAGGAATTTGAAATTTCATTGAATCAACGGAGCAAGATATTTTGAGTGAATTTTGAATTATCTTTCACAGATCACATAACAAGCATTTCAGCACTTGTCATGCCTATTAAGAAGATAATCAAGGTGTGTCGCGACTACAACGTTCTATCCATGATAGACGGTGCGCATGCGCCTGGACAAGTTCAAATTGATATGAAGGATATCGATCCCGATTTTTATGCAGGTACGGGAATTACTTGCAGTTCTTTTGTTTTGTTCTCAAAAACTTCAGTGTCGTGTCTTGATATTTATTTACACTTACCAGTAATGGTCACATTTCCTCAGTAGTAACATATACCAGCGTCATCTAGATTCGCTACTCGGACACTTTTTAGTAATAGGATTTCATGGATAGATGTGTTATAGGCCAGTCGACTAATGCATAATATGCACTTCGTAACAATTTTTGATCTAGCGGAGGTACCAGTGTATACTGAAAACGACTTAAAGGGAGGTAATAGTAAAACGCTCAGCTTGTCTTGTGAAATTTTATGCATGCAATAAGCAGGTGTGGTTATATAATAGAACACTATTTAAACTAACGATAGTTTCGAATATTATTTTCTGACATAGTTAACAATTATGAACACTATGCATTCGAAAACTATTTCTGATGTTTAATTGACAGGGAACTTCCACAAATGGCTTTACACACCCCGTGGATGTGCATTACTGTACATTAGGAAGGAACACCAGGAATGGGCGTGTCCATTAGTTACAGCAGGGAATTACAGCGAAAATGTGGGACTCCAGTTCTTTATGCAGGGTACTCGTGACGACACCCCGTATATCTGCCTGCCAGAAGCTTTGCGATTCTACAGCGACATTGGTGGAATGGTATATTATTTCGTGCTATGTATGAATATACAGACGAAAACGTTGCGGATGATAATGAGGAACAATGGGTATAGATATGGAAATTTAGTCGCTCGGGAAAAACAAGAAACTGAAAATCGTGGTTAAAAATGTCCTGCAACAAGCTGTACTCATCGAGCAGTACTAGTGTATGCAAATGCAGTAACCCTTCAAGTAGCTGCAGTTCCTGGCCCGTACATATATGTAACTTACATAAAACATTAATTGGCCTGACGTACGGACGGACAAGGGTTATAATGTATGTCCTGCACCACCTCGTGGCAGGACATCAAAAGAAATGAATACACAGTGCTGCTGGTTTATTATTTATGCCTTAATTCATATAAGTTTTTGCATTTGCTTTATTCCCAGGAGGTGATAACACGTTATTGCTCACACCTATTGGACCAGGCGGCAAGCAAGATGGTGGCGGCTTGGGGCACTGCCAAACTGCCTGTCCCCCGAGAGATGGAACCCCCTTGCATGAGGATGGTTAAACTACCAACATTAACTGGTTTTATACCGTCCCTAGTAAATATTTCTTATTTTAACAACGACTACAACTATCAGTATCCCAATGAGACAGATTTGTATACGTGTGAAGCTAACTTAACTATTCTTTGTATAAAACCGAGAAAGAGGAGAGGGTGCATGTCCAAAAAAAATGATATTCAGATAGAGTAATGGTGTTTTGTCATTGTATAGCAAGAATTTAAACTATTTGAAAATCAGTTATCATAAAGAACTTCGAATCTAAGAGCCAACAGACTCCTTTTCATTGCCTCGTATCTTTGTAGTAACGTACCTAAATATGGGTGAAGAGTGTGCCACTAGGTCTTGTTGATGAAGATTTTCAACAAGTTTACACTATTTCAGAGTAACTCGATAAGGTTGATGTCTGACATATATACTCGGTGGAATATACAGACTGCCACCATGTATGTTGATGGGGATTTGTACGTCCGACTTTCCGCCAATGTCTACAATACGGAAGCTGACTACGACACTCTTGTTGCAGCCATTCAGAAAATGAGGGACTACGACAGGTACTGGATATATTAATTATGATGCCGCCTTCATTGCAGTTGCTGAAAGATTTTGCAATGTCCATGCCATTAAGTTTATACGTAGCTGTAAATTAGTACCAGAATGTACTGAAACCATCAACGAATTGCATCATCACTCTTGTGTAGACAACGTTTGTAAATACAGTTTATTCATTTTAATATGCGTTATTTCATGAAGCATATTTATTTGATTGAAAATGCAATGTTTTCACGAAGCATTCGAAATTAATAGTATTCTGAACATGGACCCTTATTTCATCTGGTAATGAGTTGTTAGGAACGTTTATTGTCAACATTCTGCAGAATTTACTCAAAGAAAAAAACCAGAATAGCCACAATTAAAGACTATTGAGAAATAGTAAATTTTGCTTGTCGAAAAATTATCCAACAATTTAAGTAGTATTTCTGCATATTGCCTCTTTTTTTTTAGTTTTGTCAGCTCCCAATTTCCATTTCCCAACGGACCAGTCTAATGCTTAGTCAAAAAGCTTTGTTAAACGATGAAACAATAGGTCAAATTGACCTATATTATGAAGAGACATCTTGTGTTATGGTGCATTTGTATGCCAAACAAATGAGAATGAAATGAAATTGCTAAGAGTAACAGTGGTTACAATGTTAACGAAGAAACAAAGCTTAAACAAAGGTGTGAAAGACGAACAGACAGATAGTTAGGAAAGAACCCATATCCACTCTAACGCTTTACGAAGGAAAAATAATCGTAAACCCCTCCCAAACACATCCACGAGCATTGGTTAAATCTAAAATAACCAAATACTGAATATGTAAATAAGCATGGACCAAGTGCTAATTATCAAACAATTTTGCGTGTTCGTTCAATGGTTAGATTCATGCAATTCATATACCATTCTTGAGGACATGTTTAGATGTGGTCCATGGTTGTGATTTTGTGTAGACATATTCAGTGTAGGACAGACATGATGTGAATATAAGAAGATTGATATGCATACTATATGTGGTTAATATCGAACCATTTTAAAGGAATTTTTTGTATGGAACCCCTTTAATCATTCTTTTTACCCAAAACAATCCAATACAAGTAAAAATACAATGTATAACATATATTAAGAGTAGTAACAATTTACAATTGGATATACGTGCATTTTATTTACAAAATACTATATCAATTAATACCCCTTTAAGGGTAATTGTCGATACTGTGTATGAATATATATGCTCTAACGTCATATTCAACAGTACAGCCAACCAGTCACCTGTTGTAACGACATTCGGCCATCCTATCAGAGAGGCAGAGTTTTCACTGAGGAAGGGATCTACTTTTCTCAACAATGCTGCAAGGGGAAGTATTCCTAAAAGAGTCAGAGAAATTCACCTAAGGTTCGTAATAACGACAGGTTAGATATGTAACATAAAAAACCCACTTAAACGATTCTTATGTACCCAAATTAACCATAATTACATGTTTTACATATTTACACGGATTTCAGTGCTAGTCTTTATTTAAGTAAAACGACTTGCACATATTTAACGTATCCTGGACCGATATATTTTGAATTGATAACATGATGTATTCCTTCTGTTCGGTAGCAGTTTTGTTTCTTTTTCAATAATTGATATGACAAGTTCGAATTGGTCACTCAGCAGTATTCAAACAACAAAACGCTAATATCGACTTCAAAATGTAAAGGGTAGTATCGGGCATCCGAATTATTGAACACGTGACGTCAGGTGCCAGATGTTGTACAGGATGCACTTACCTTGGAGTATATTGGCGTTTTGTCTCTGCAGTTTAACATTGCTTCACACTTGATTTTCCAACAATATTGTTAAAATTAGCTGTTGATCCTAGTTTACCGATTGATAAATTGTTATAGGTACATTAACGAGCTTGACGATCACCCTGACGATTGGATGCGCCGGAAGGTAAAAGACATGTGGATTGCATCCCGGGAGAGTGCTGCTATTTTCGTGAACGTTGATCCAGAGGACTTGGTCTTCGTCCAGAATGCAACGACAGGCAAGTGTTAAAAATGAAATATGTTTAATTAGCAACATAATACTAAATTATAACAAAAGCACTGTACGTGATTTATAATTGAACATTCCCTGTTGAATCTCCTAAAACACCTATCAGAAGTACTTTTTTAACAAAAGATTTAGATTCTATACAAAACCGTAAGTGTTAGCTTCATGCTAGAGTTTGCACATGTATATATAATTGCGTATACTAAGCTTATTTCTTGCAAAACAGGGTTTAATTCTGTTCTGAAGACCTATCCGTTCTCACCCGACGATGCCTTCTTGTTTACAAACAACTCGTTCGAAGCATTAAAGAATACGTGTCACTATGTGTCAACCAAGCTGAAAGGTAAATATATACGTTGGATCATATGAGATAATACTTATTTTATGCCAGGTAACATTCTCATTTATGCATACATACCGCTAAAAGTAATAATTGTGACATGATCGAGACTTTTTCCATTTTCATTGTTAATATATGTTTCACTGGATTTTATTTTTGGACGTATTGGTTAAAATAGGCACCGCAATACAACGATGGAATCTAATCGCACAGTTTGTCCTATAGGATAAGTGTGAAAAACGTTCTCTATGATATCATTGACGCTTTAAAATACAGCCGTCGTATGCTTAGGCATGCCGATTCCCAACAAAAATCCATGTAGAACTACACATGTGTTTTTACAGGTATGAAAACATACATTTTGGATGTAACATTTCCTATCGAGACTGATGATGAATTGGTTGAGAAGCATCGCAAGATCCTAACGGATCATCCTGATATTAAACTGGTGGTTATAGGTGAGTATTCCTAAGACTAGCCTCAATGTGGTGTGGTTTGTATAATGAATATATTTATATAACAAAGTTGTTTTCAAAATATTGACTGGAGAGAGAACAACCAAATACATGTACATATATCGCTATAGCAATCATGAATGAACCATTACCGTTAAAATAACATATAAAAAGTACATATTAAAGCATTTCAGTAGAATACTTTACATTTTCACCACTTTCACAAGAAGCCTTAAGATAAACTCTTTCAAATGATTGAGTTTATTATAAACCGGCCGGAAAAACTGCGTAATTATTGATCTCTAAAATTATGAGTGACACTACTTCTGTTACTGGTCTTGCTGTTAAACAAAACTTTAATATCTATATGTAAGATGTATGCTATCGAAAATCGTTGTGAAACTAAGGTAAATTCGATCTCACAGATCACATAACAAGTCGGACCGCACTGATGTTTCCCGTCCATAAGATGGTCAAATTGTGCCAGGACATGGGCGTTATGGCACTGGTAGACGGTGCGAACGCGCCAGGACAGGTGTCTTTGGACATTAAGGCATTGGACCCGGATTTTTACTCAGGTATGCACTTATACAAATATGAACAAAATGAATGTTGCTAAATTTGTTCCTTTTGTTACCGCAGACATCTTGTGCAACAGATTTTGAAAGGTCCTTTTAATTTGATAACCACTGAAACGAAAGTTTGTCTTGAGCTCTGTTAATTGGCTAATGATGTACTTGTAAATACATATTTTTAAATGGAAAAGCATTTTTAATACTAGTAACGGTATAAATCCGCAAATGTATATAAAACATTGCGTTACAGGTAACTTCCACAAATGGGCATTCGCGCCTAGAGGGTGTGGCTTCCTGTACGTCAAGAAGGTACATCGTCCTCTAGTCAAGCCACTAGTGACATCACACTTCTACCAGCAAACTATGACCGATGAGTTCTTCATGCAGGGATGTCGGGATGACACACCGTACATTACCTTGAAGCACGCTCTTCAGTTCCTTCAAGACATTGGCGGAATGGTAATTTATATACACCCTACTATATTATACATAAATACCCTTCGTCGATTTAGATGTTGATTTTTGTGTCAGACAGTTTGTGTATCTTTAACTAAATTCTCTGTCTCGATTAAAAATGCAAGTGAAGAAATGCGTATGCTCTGGTAATGTTTCTATCTATTTTTTGTTCATTTAGTCCTTATGTTTAAGTCACAACTCAGCATTTTCTTTCCATCTTCTGCAGTGACTTAAGTTGATCGATAATCAGCGGTCGATGCAGGACATTGGTCTAGGAAGGGTTATTCCATAACATGAGAAAAACAAATGGAAAAGTGGCAGGGGGATCATTCCTGATGCTCTACAAACAACCTTGGATACTTCCTTAAACACAACTGTACCCAGACATACCATTTGTTTAACGTGCATTGTAATTTTTCTGTTTCCAATTCGAATGGTACATATATGACACAAGGTTCTAGTTTTGCGCGATTATTTTTGATAGATAATTTATCAATTACTTCCATGTAATCATTGATAAAGAATGTACTAAATTAAGAAAACTAACTTTTTTATTAAAATGCAGGAAAAGGTTTTGGCGTACAACACCAAGTTATTACAGGAAGCTGTCGACCTCATCATTTCTAGCTGGGAAACCCATACATTACCTATACCAAAATCTTTGGAGGCGCCATGTGTTAGGATGATCAAACTACCAGTCCTCAAGGACTACGAAGGCAACTCGGTCAGTCAAAAGATTATCATTATCAACAACTGACATAAAATTAAAACGACTTTACCCAGATAAACAGTACGATTGCGTGAAACATTGTTTCATATGTATAGCTCTAGCCTTGATACATCAAGCAAAGTAGTAGATATTGAACAAACAGTTCAAAGCATGCACAGAAAAAAATCGTACATGGTTTTATGAACTCTTTCAATATTTCCTCTACAATATGTGTGCAAGCACCACCTATACAATTATAACTTCAATTGATGCGCTACAATGCAAGGCATTAATTATATACAGAGATGAAAATGGGCTTCATGGGCTAAAAATTCGATCCTTTCTTTGAAAAAAATATATTTTGCAATCCACTAAAATTATGAAAAAGGAATTTGATTATCCCTGTATACAATATTCTAGTATTAAGTATTTTCCTATAGCCGATCGATGCTTCTTTGTGCAGAAAAATGTAGTTCTTAACACATAAATTGGAGCTATGCAATTGTATATGAACTCCTTTTTTAAGAAATGGTGTATCGTACCTATTTAAACTTAAGCAAACAAATCTTTTGTAAACCGAAACATTTCCTTTAGTAATGTGAAATTAATGAAATTGTAATTTGTCTTACAGGAGGATGCTACCCGGTTGGTTGATGACCTTTATACCCAGTATGACATTCAAACACAGATGTTTTGTGTTCAATGCCAGTTGTATCTGAGATTGTCGGCACAAGTGTACAATGAACTGGACGACTACAGGAAACTTGTTACTGTAATAAACAGTCTCCGAAAGTAGTCTCCGTATCAAACAGTCTCCGACAGTAGTCTCCGTATCAACAGTGATGGATAACAGGAAACTTGTTACTGTAATAAACTGTCTCCGAAAGTAGTCTCCGTATCAAACAGTCTCCGACAGTAGTCTCCGTATCAACAGTGATGGATAACAGGAAACTTATTACTGTAATACACATTCTCCGAAAGTAGTCTCCGTATCAAACAGTCTCCGACAGTAGTCTCCGTATCAACAGTGATGGATAACAGGAAACTTGTTACTGTAATAAACAGTCTCCGAAAGTAGTCTCCGTATCAACAGTGATGGATAACAGGAAACTTGTTACTGTAATAAACAGTCTCCGAAAGTAGTCTCCGTATCAACAGTGATGGATAACAGGAAACTTGTTACTGTAATAAACAGTCTCCGAAAGTAGTCTCCGTATCAACAGTGATGGATAACAGGAAACTTGTTACTGTAATAAACAGTCTCCGAAAGTAGTCTCCGTATCAACAGTGATGGATAACAGGAAACTTGTTACTGTAATAAACAGTCTCCGAAAGTAGTCTCCGTATCAACAGTGATGGATAACAGGAAACTTGTTACTGTAATAAACAGTCTCCGAAAGTAGTCTCCGTATCAACAGTGATGGATAACAGGAAACTTGTTACTGTAATAAACAGTCTCCGAAAGTAGTCTCCGTATCAACAGTGATGGATAACAGGAAACTTGTTACTGTAATAAACAGTCTCCGAAAGTAGTCTCCGTATCAACAGTGATGGATAACAGGAAACTTGTTACTGTAATAAACAGTCTCCGAAAGTAGTCTCCGTATCAACAGTGATGGATAACAGGAAACTTGTTACTGTAATAAACAGTCTCCGAAAGTAGTCTCCGTATCAACAGTGATGGATAACAGGAAACTTGTTACTGTAATAAACAGTCTCCGAAAGTAGTCTCCGTATCAACAGTGATGGATAACAGGAAACTTGTTACTGTAATAAACAGTCTCCGAAAGTAGTCTCCGTATCAACAGTGATGGATAACAGGAAACTTGTTACTGTAATAAACAGTCTCCGAAAGTAGTCTCCGTATCAACAGTGATGGATAACAGGAAACTTGTTACTGTAATAAACAGTCTCCGAAAGTAGTCTCCGTATCAACAGTGATGGATAACAGGAAACTTGTTACTGTAATAAACAGTCTCCGAAAGTAGTCTCCGTATCAACAGTGATGGATAACAGGAAACTTGTTACTGTAATAAACAGTCTCCGAAAGTAGTCTCCGTATCAACAGTGATGGATAACAGGAAACTTGTTACTGTAATAAACAGTCTCCGAAAGTAGTCTCCGTATCAACAGTGATGGATAACAGGAAACTTGTTACTGTAATAAACAGTCTCCGAAAGTAGTCTCCGTATCAACAGTGATGGATAACAGGAAACTTGTTACTGTAATAAACAGTCTCCGAAAGTAGTCTCCGTATCAACAGTGATGGATAACAGGAAACTTGTTACTGTAATAAACAGTCTCCGAAAGTAGTCTCCGTATCAACAGTGATGGATAACAGGAAACTTGTTACTGTAATAAACAGTCTCCGAAAGTAGTCTCCGTATCAACAGTGATGGATAACAGGAAACTTGTTACTGTAATAAACAGTCTCCGAAAGTAGTCTCCGTATCAACAGTGATGGATAACAGGAAACTTGTTACTGTAATAAACAGTCTCCGAAAGTAGTCTCCGTATCAACAGTGATGGATAACAGGAAACTTGTTACTGTAATAAACAGTCTCCGAAAGTAGTCTCCGTATCAACAGTGATGGATAACAGGAAACTTGTTACTGTAATAAACAGTCTCCGAAAGTAGTCTCCGTATCAACAGTGATGGATAACAGGAAACTTGTTACTGTAATAAACAGTCTCCGAAAGTAGTCTCCGTATCAACAGTGATGGATAACAGGAAACTTGTTACTGTAATAAACAGTCTCCGAAAGTAGTCTCCGTATCAACAGTGATGGATAACAGGAAACTTGTTACTGTAATAAACAGTCTCCGAAAGTAGTCTCCGTATCAACAGTGATGGATAACAGGAAACTTGTTACTGTAATAAACAGTCTCCGAAAGTAGTCTCCGTATCAACAGTGATGGATAACAGGAAACTTGTTACTGTAATAAACAGTCTCCGAAAGTAGTCTCCGTATCAACAGTGATGGATAACAGGAAACTTGTTACTGTAATAAACAGTCTCCGAAAGTAGTCTCCGTATCAACAGTGATGGATAACAGGAAACTTGTTACTGTAATAAACAGTCTCCGAAAGTAGTCTCCGTATCAACAGTGATGGATAACAGGAAACTTGTTACTGTAATAAACAGTCTCCGAAAGTAGTCTCCGTATCAACAGTGATGGATAACAGGAAACTTTTTACTGTAATAAACAGTCTCCGAAAGTAGTCTCGAGCTCCGTATCAACAGTGATGGATTCTACATTGTGTGCACTTTAAACAATGATACTATTTTACGAAAAATATTATGCATCAAATGACACTTGTTTCAAAATAGTGAATACCATCCGGGGACTGTTTTATACATATATCAACTAAACACATTCATTGTCTTGAATGAGCATTGTTGACTGGAGTATTACAATGAACAAGTTTGATAAAAGGAAACTGATAGAAACAAAGATTTTATTATAAATGTGATTCTAAAGAATTGTGAACAACATCATATATTTTAAAAAAAATCCTTTTTGAGGAGATTTTATGACACATTCCTATTAATTTTGCATCATGACAAATTCGAGCTCACGAATTATCAAATCAATTTTGGACTTGTTTTACTGATGAAGTTAATTACAAATTATTAGTTTGCACAAACCATAGTTACATTTCTAATGAACTTGGAATCAATATACCTATACAAAATATGAAATAGAATTTTGCCACTGTACAGTTGGTGTATGAATACATCAGAAATGTGTGTAGGGAGTAGTCTTATTAAAAGAATGTTTCAATTTCTTATTTCATGTTTCTGATTTAACAAACATCTATTTATGTGAAAGGTTATTTTAGCATCGTAATCGATACAAAACAGCTTAATTTAAGTTACCAGAACGACGTCACTCTTACACTTAGTGATGACGTCGCATTCGCCAGGAACTTCCATTACAAAGATTTGCCAAATCAGATATTTTAGAAATTATATAAAAAAAAACATCTAAACTGCACTGAATGTGAATATAAGGATTTAATTACATTATGTTGAGGTTAATGGGATATAGGCTTCAATGGGTTTTGGAACAAATTTGATATGAACTGCGAAAATTGTTGCACTGTTAAGATTAACAGAATCATAACGAATATACTTAATGCAAGATTAACTTATATTAACCTGTGCTGTTTATCCTAGATTCAGATCTACACACATTTATCCCAACAGTTCTGTTATCTTCTTCTCTATCATACATTTTGTGTCTGGGTTTTGGATGGAGAGTGAACATTGAGCAATACACTTCAAGCTGTCTGTGAAGGTGGTGCCCTCAACATTCATGTCCAGTTCTTGATTGACCAGTTCTAGAGAACACACAATGTCTAGTAGGAGAACGTCTAGGGGATCACGGGTCTCCAAGGGCATCCAATAGGTGGCGTGACACACATGACCAAACACTTTGGTCAGCAGGAACAAGTGGTCTGATGCGGCGAGGGCAATTTTGCTGACAAGGACACACTCCTATAAATAAATGAATAAATAAATAATCTTTATTTAACGTCGTGTACATTGTCAACAACAAACATCAGCTCTGTAGAGCTTTTTTTTTACGACACCGCTACTGGAACAAATTATGTTTTCGTGGTGGAGGAAAACCACCATGCCATCGGAGGGATAACCACTTTAACACTATCAGACATCAGTAATCACTCTCTTTTTTCCACCTCTGCTGGGGATCAAACCCGAGATTGTTGGAAGAGTGAGTGGTCTGAAGCTCATGCTTGATTGCACAGTAGTAATGACACATATAACATATTTACAAACATGCATCATCATACATTTGTGTACAAGGAAATGGCAATTTGGTGCAGTATAATGTTTACTTTGTTTGAATTTCTGCATCAGGCAACTCATTTTCAAATGGCTGCTTTCTTACTTTGCACTAGTTGTTATTGTTTCGCATACACAAAACATTCCTTTCCAAATAAGAGCAATATAAATATCAAGTATCTTCATGATAAGCAGCAATTCCAAATCCATAAGAAAAACATTTAATTTTTAATAATAGTTAAACAAAACATCATATCTTACCTTCAAAACTGTGACGTAACATTTGGTACAGTGTAACAGGGCGGCCATATTTGTTGCCATAGTCGTAAACTGAAGGACAGTTATGACATTGTGAAGTACTCGAGACAGATTCAATGGTTGCCGCACAGCTAGGAAGTATAAAACATTTATATAAAATTATGTACCTATACTATCTATCAACTATTTGATTACTTTCTTGTATGTGATGTTTTTTTTGATCGATGTGACTATCAAACAACAGGTAAATTATCAATCCGCATACTTTAAAATATTGTCTTTAGAAACTACAATCAAATGGAATTAGTCAATGATCAAAATTTGAAAGCAAGATTTTCATTTCCTAGCAAATTGTTAAAATTTCTTTGTAATATAGTTCATCACATAAAGATAATATCTAACTCAACATTATGTAGTATACCATACTTAGTGGCATTATAAATGTTATATATCTGTACCTTCAGATTTTCCATCAAGCTTCTCCCACCCATCTTTTATTCTGTTCTGTATAATCAGTTGTCGACCATCCAAAAGTCCCTGTATCAGCCGTATAACTCTCTTCCACTCTTCAAAAACACAGTGAGGTAACACCTTCAACAAATACATAATTAAAACATAATTTGACAAAATTTAGTTTAATATTCTGTTTCTGCAATATATCAGTTTTAAGTGATCATTCACCATTAAATCAAACACGATAGATACATCAAAATGAAGATATTAAAACTTTTAAGCAGGTTTAATGGCTACATCCTTATAATTATAATAATTTGAGGTTCTTATATACCGCTTTATCACAACCTAGTTCGTAGGTCATCTCAATGCGGTTCACAAATTATTATACGTGCTTATAGGGCCTTTGCAACCAGCCAATACCTTTCTCAACTCCATGGGAAGCATACAGCCAGAGCTGCCATTTGAACGCGAACAGCTAGCATTCAACAATTCTAGTACTGCCCAACCACGTACTCATTTACAGCTGAGTAGACTGGAACAAGCGGAGTAAAGTATATTGCTCAGATGCAACACAGTGCTGTGCGTGACTCAAACATGCAACCCCTCGGTCACGAGCCCTGTGTCCAACCCACTAGACTACCGTGCCTCCTTCACACAGTTTTAAAATTTTAAACTGAATTATTTGCAAATATCAGTTTTAGTTGATAGTGTTGGCAACAAAACTGTCATATAAATACTTGTATAAGCACATTGGAGCAGTTAAGGCACAAAATAGCTATACAATAAACATTTCTCTTGTCAAGTCAATACATACACTCTTTGGGGAAGCATTTGGATATTCCTGTGTGTTACTTTTCTTTGAAAATTTTTATTATCTAAATATACTAAATCTACTGTGTTAATTTTGGTGAGGGACTATACTTCATCTATGCAGTAGAAACCTTCATACAGATTTTTTTTAAATTCCTCTACATGTACTTTGGAGTATTCATTGAAAAATTACCCCCTTATTCTTTACCTTATTGCCCCTGCCCCACTGTCCCTAGAATTGTACGTAGATGCTGTATAAATGACAGATATGGCACAAGTTCATTTGGGCTAAGTGAGCTAAACCATTCAAAATAACCATGTAAACAGTATGACCCTCTTTACATATTATATTATTATACCTCTACTTTATTTACTCTATATAAAAGTAACTGGCTAAATCGAATATATCCCCAATTTTGCCTGACTGTTTAAGTCCTGTGTGTTGGTCTGGGAACTAAAACACATCTACACGCGGGTGTTTCCGCCGTGCCAATCAGGCGAGAGGTGGGCAGAGCTTGTTACCGAATGTGGAAGTGACGAAAGAGGTGGGCGGAGCTTGCTAACGAACTCGGAAGCATTTTGCTACATTGTCATCAAAAGGGTAGTTGGGACGGGAAGCTAAACAGCTTATGGTTTACAAATATTTTCTAGTTAAAACTATCTCTCCAGTGTGTATCGGTATAATAAAACGGTAAAAGTATGGTGTTGAGGGATATATCAAGTTTCTGGTGTCCCTTGACCATGCCTATTTCCCTCAGCTTCGCCTCTGGAAATAGACCTGGTCTTAGGACACCAGAAACTTTGTATATCCCTCAACCCCATACTTTAACTGTATACTAACAACATACCTGAGCCAATGTCACCACCATTTCCTCATAAACCAGACTGAGGCTGGTGTCGGACTGTGTCACAATGTGTAACACAGTTTGCATCATCACTTCACTGGCAGCAGCTGCTCGCAGCAGGTTCAGGTAAATACTATCACCTGTCAAGGTAGATCAAGTAGTCAAATGAGGGGGACAATAAACACTTTAAACAAATCCTGTCTTGAAATAAATAATCTACAACTATTTTTAAAACACTAGTAGAGGTCTAACACAAGCACAACAGGGGTTTAACTCATTCACCACTGAAGACATATTTGAACTCCTCTGATTCAAAGGTTGGAATAGTTCATCATGAAATTTCAGAGGTGAATGAATTATAAACAGTCACACACTATTGATGTCATCATCAACCAGGCTCGCACCAAAAACTTTCTCTATGTGTTTAATTACTTCAGTGTATCCTGTCTTAAAGTGTGGGACAGATAGACCAAAATACTTTGTCAGTATATATAGGGTCCAATTACTTATTTTGGATATCAATATTTTTATTATCTATATATTGAAACTAGTTGACTAAGAAATGCAGCAGTGCTAAAATAACAGAAGGTAAGTAATAATAGATTCAATTTTACTGTTTTAATATTGGCAATGATTTATAATGAACGTCATCCAGAAAAACCCTTTTGAATAATCAACTGAGTAAAATTGAAAGGCCTAAGAATACACCGAGTGTTTTAACAAGAATTTATTAAGGACATCTGTCCCACTGCCTTTTGTTTTCTCCTATTATGCAGTAACCTCACCTCAACTACCGTTTGGACATAACTAGAGAACCCTCCCACTAACCAGCTAGCTCAATCAATTAGCGCGATAGATTAGCAGGCTGAAGGTCAGGGTTCTAACCCGGGTCCAGCCCCGCTCTGGGTTTTTACACAGAGAACACGGTGTTTATTACATTTCGTTTATTTCATCTTTGTTATTTCTCATGTCCCACAAGGTATGATCGCCTTTTCAGATATGAATTATCAGCTAGACATATTAGGGGGTTTGTTCAAGGCTTGACTAATATTATATCCTTTCCTCCATACACACAATTAATTACAATTACAAAAATAAAATTTTAACTCTGTCTGAACAACCCACCATAATCGTAAACATGAGCTGTAACATACAGAAGCTGGATCTTACCGGAGTTGTTTATCAGAGCTAGACAGAAGTCCTCAAGCTCACATTCCTGAAACAACTGAAACAATTATTATTAGGTTCAAATAATGGTAGCAACATTTTTGATTTCTTGATATAAGAACTGCATTGAAATTAACCAAATCACCATGAAGCAGACATTTCCACCTGGTTAAAAATGTCAGAATACCTTTAAATATATCTTTTATCTCTTGTACATTAAAAAAATGAGTATTACAATTCACTGAAGAAATAAAAAAGGTTTTTGTCTGCTTGATTCAATTTATACCCCCCCCCCCGCCCCCTAACAACAAAAACAACAACAACAACAAAAGGAAGGGAAATAACTAAGTTGTAGTACTGCCACACATAAAATGATGTTAAAAGTTTGATTACATGAACTTTTTACAAATATGGTCCAAACTGAAAAACTTATGTCAGGTCCCAAAGGACAATTGAACTCTATTTATGTTACAAAGTTTGACTCACTGTTTAGTCTGTATAAAATCTTACCTGTCTGTATGCTGTAGGACTGATAATTTCTGCCATATGAAGTTGTACTGACCAGTCCATTTGTTCAAGATGATCATGGAGCCAGACAGTCTCAGGGCCTATGAAACAGTTCAAAATTACCTCCCTTTAGTCATATCCAGGAATAGAAATGAAATGAAAACAACTACAAAAGTCACATGAATAATATATTTGCTACTTTAGATGAAAATATGTACAAAAGCAGTAAGAGTTTTTTTTTCAATCTTTTTGTAAAGCTTTTATTGTATGGTTCTTATTTTCTTTGTTCTTATATACCTTTTTGCTGTCAATATCTTTCTGCAAGAATGGAAAGCATTTGTCATTTTTGAGAAACAGTTTACAAACACTAAATTGTCAGAAATTTATCAAATACCTTTTTTAATCAATTATAAATGTATTTTATTATTCAAGCAGAAAAGAGACATCTTAAGCTCTATTTTTTAACCCTCACTGGTAGATTAACAAATTTAAAGAAACATTATCAAATGTAATACCTTAAATTTAACTCATATCAAAAAAATGTGATATAGCATATTCAAGTCTGATTTATATAAAAATTCAAAAATTTTGATTTTCATTAAAAAAAATCTCATTAATATAGTCCCAGAACTTACAAGATGCAATTTTTAAATGGAAAAATAACTACCAACCATTTTGTTGTTGTTGTAAATTGGAAGGTAATTAACATGCATTTAGCAAAATGATGAATTTGTGTTTTTACAGTTCACTTATGCATTATATTAATGATATATTCTCATTTATCCACGTTTTTCAAAGTTTTACAAAGCTGAAATGAAGTAAATAAAGTAAACGTTTAATTACCATAAGTACAGAGTTCACACGAAGCACTCACTGACTTCAGCAGATCGTGAAATTGCACCAAATTTTCTTTCAATTTCAACCTCACTCCTACATCTTCATCAGATTCCCAAAGAATTACGCAATACTGCCAGAGCTCGGCCACACATAGTAACCAAGGAGCAGAATCTGTTGCCAAGGACTTCACCAAATTTGTCAATAAGGCCTCGTGATGTTTCATTGCTTCAAAGATGCCAATTATAATCTCTAGTGCAAATAAGGCATTCATTGGATGTCCCTGGTTGCTGAGCGACAGCACATTGAGAGACGACAGTGTTGTTGTCTGGATGAACTCTGTTGCATTCAGCAGAGAGGTTGTTCTCATGATATCCTCACAATCTGATGATTTCTGTGGCTAAAATATTCAAAAAGAAAAAGTGATATTTAACATTTTAAGCATTTAAAGCCTGAAATGGAACATTCATCTTCTATGATTAATGTCTTTCAATAACTCAATTTCACATGAGTTCCTTCGTTTGATAGCTTTACTCAGATAAGTGAGCCATGTTAAGGTCTAGAAAACATAAAACAATATAATTCTTGTCTGTGACTACAAATGACCTGTTACAATATGAAAACTAATATTTCGTTTTTTCATTCTGTTCTTTGATTTGTATTAGATTAACATAGAAGATAGCCCATACAATGGTTGGGCTACATCTAATCATAAATGGACTAAGAACTATCATACAACTCATTATATCACACACTATATAGAGACAACTATGGCACTCATTGATAGGAAAAATTGGTATGAAAATATCCCAGGTATTTGATCATGCTTTTCAGATCTTGAATTAGTGGTCATTTTTAGGTAATTAAATCGCCAGTATACACTGTTCATGCCTTTTCAATAGGTTGGACAGATGACGAACTTGTACCTCAGTGGCTCCTGAAATTTGACATAATATTTTAAAATGTATTTCTGTTCAGATTGATGGTATATTTTATCTTTGACCTGGTGTACAAGCAGCCAGTTATTTCATCTATTCTCCTTTGCCAGTTCCTCACTAAAATCAGCCAATTTTTTGTACTTTCTTGTTACTGATATATCTATAACAGCTACCATGGCAGTCATCTGTATGAAGTATAGGATAACACGGCGCTCCTTAGCAGACAGCTGATTGGACAGAAGAAACTGGTGAAGCTGACCACACAGATTACAGCCCTCCGTCCTTCCAGCAGCCACACTTGACATCCTTCCAAGAACCTATCAAAAATAAAAAAAAACATTTAAAAAGTCAAATTAGATTTATATCAGCTTTCCAAAGGAGGACTAATTTGCTAGTTTTGCATTCTTATACTTTCCCAAAATTACAGTTCATGAAATATTTATGTGTACATTGTTTATAATAGAACCAAAATTAAAGATCTGTTATTATCTTAAGATACAAACTTATCACTACAGTAAGGGTAACTTCACTGTCACACATAGGTACAGAGTGTCACCTACAAAAAAATGTATAGTAATTGAGATACACAGCTTCCACGTTTACAAACCTTGACACCTATCTCAGCTTGTTGAGCACTGCTACTCGCCCTTCCCACAATGCCTTTGATAACTGCCTCAACATCCTGTAGAGCGAGCTGACATAACTCTGTCATCACCTTTAAGAACATATGTTGTTATGCAAGCTTTGTTATCAATATTACTGGCTGTGAAAATGTCTACTTGGTAAAGATAACGATTCCTGATGATGACGATATCACATAAAGAATCAACAATTCGCTTACACGGGCTATTTCAATGAGTACCTATTTTAATAGCTCAACTTTAACAAGACATCAAAAATAATTGTTATTTTCATACATATTATTATATAAAAAGTTTTATTTACTTTTACAATACTTTGTGTAGCCTGTTTGTAAATTTAAGAAAATTCAACACAATTCTTAGATTTTTGAAATATTGAACAACCTCCCGAAGTCCATTTGGGAGGCACAGAGGTTGACATTTACAAATCTACAAAATTCAGTCTTTATCTACTGCATCTTTGAAATTCAGGGGATCTGTTCTTGGTACATGACTCTTCTACATACACTTTGAAAATTTGGTGACAAAATTGAAGGCTCTGTATAATGCCTCCTTGTGGATGATACAATTTGACTAGTCTGGAAACTGATACTAATTCCTGCATACCATTGATTTCTTTGATACAAGACATAAGGAATTACATAAAAGCATAACTGTGAAATTGACCGCCTTTGATTTTGGTATAGATCCTTTGTAATCTTCAAAGGACAGTTATCAGCCTTGCAATTGGTCATTTCATCATGTCTGAAACTAATCAAATTGCTTACCTTGGTAACATATTCCAAGGCTAAGTGCAGAAGAATGTATCGAAAGAAAAACCCTAGGATTATTTCAAAGATGTTTCTACTCTACATATTCTTCGAATGTCAATAATAATCCATGTGAAAAAAATTACAGACTTTTCTCACATAGAGAAGTCCGCAATTTTTTCACAGACCATAAATCCTGCATTTGATGAAAATATCCTTAAACTATCACCTTTTCATTTTCTGTGCTTTCCATGGTGAGTTTATTGAGTGTTGCAGTGATGATACCATCCAACTGACTACCATGGTGATGAGGCCAGTGTTGGTAAGTTGAGTACACTATGGCAATGTGGTCATCTTGTACAGCCAAGGGCAGATCACTGAAACCGGTCAGCACCAACTGAAACAACAGAACTAAACTTTCCAACAACAGATATATGCATTTCTTCTCTGGTGAAATCGTGTTTATCTTTCTGTAAAAGTGACAGAAAGAACACAAGAGATATATATATATATATATATATATATATATTTAGGGTCCACATATTTTTTTTTCCATATTTGACACACCAATCTCTTAATGCATTTGAAAATTTACTTTCTATAATCAAAGGACCTAAAACACCTCTTGTCTAATACCTTTTTTCTGTTAAAAGCATCAATCGATCTTTTGAACAATAAAAGGACAACTTGTTCCAGTCATATCATTTTTATTTGAAAATACTTTTGAAACTAGATTCAACTTGAAGCAAAGTTTGCAGACCATTCGTAAAACTGCTGCAGAGGCATGCAAGAATTACACTTATTTCAGTACTTGAGGTCAAAATCAAAGGTCAAATTAAGATCACACTGATTTCATTTTTAGGATGTGACACATCGCTTTTTCTATGATGTGCCTATATACAATGTTTGATTCCAATTAATGAAACGGTGGTTTTGAGTCAAATTCACTCTGGAAATCATTTCATTGTAACTTAAGGTCAAGACCAAATGTAGATCACAGTGACCTCCTTTTAGGATGCGTCACATCGCCTTTCCATGATGTATCTATACACAAGGTTTGAAGCTCATTTGTGAAACAGCGGCAGAGATATACTCCAAAAAGCATATGGTATGGTTAATTTTACCTTACATACTAGTTAGATCTCCCAAAACAAAATCCAATCTTACCTTTTCATACATTTTAAATATTGGCAAGGTACAGTAAAACCTTAATATAATGCCCCTTGTGTCATTTGCAACCTCGTTTACTGCCAACATATATCTATGTCTCTATGTCTTTTATTCATAAGAATTCCTTTATACATTTCCCTTAATTTATCGCCAAACCCCTTTATTAAACCAACATTTCTCTGGACAATTGTTGGCTGTATACCAAGGTTTAACTGTAACACATTAATTCAATGAACTCCAAGAGGCCCAAATAAGGCCTTATGGGCAAGATATAAAAACAGTCACTTGTGAGGAAGACATTTTAACCAGACAAAATTATTGTATGGATATGGTAAACACCAGATAGAACTAGCATACCAGTGGAAGCAAGAGTTTAATAAACCAGGTACCTGTTTAAGCTGCATCAACGACTCTGGATACATAGCATCAGCAATTCTGGCCACAAGCTCATAAAACTTCACCACCACATCAGGAGTAAGGAGTATGGCCATGTTGTTTCTTACAGTTTGTAACAAACTGTCAAATAAACAACATGTTAAACATCAAAATTGTTTTTGTCAAAATGCATAAAACAGAGCTACATCTGATGGTATTTAATCCTGTTCTGTAAATAACAGATAACTGTTATATGACTGTCAATCACAGGAATGATAGTATGTACTCAGAGTGGTTTTACTTAAAAACATGGTAATACCCTGTATGCTTTACCTACATGTATATATGTATATACTGTACATGTATATGCATATACCTGGTACCTATCGATTGTGCATATTAAGTTAACAATTTTTCAGAAATCAATTGATTTTAACATATTATTGGAGCACAGAATAAAGAGGTTAAACTATACATAGATACATAACTCGCTAGGGAAGTCGAATAATCTCTTGTCTATTTTTTTTTTTTATATCTAACCATCACAAGGACTTTGAATGTTTTTTCTGATATACATTGAAATATACATTGACCTGTAATTGGACCAAAGATCTGCATCAAAAGTCGTCATAAGTCGAAGTAAACCATCTGAAATTTAATCAAAAGAAATAGCTGAATTCATACTGAACCATCAACATATCAGTCTATTTCAACACAATTGGACTACAAGGCTAACAGGTCGCTCAGCTAAAATTAAACCCATTTTAACCATAATGTATTAAGTCTAAATAAACACATGAACTTCAATTAAACTTTGACAAGAAATTTGACAAAATTTTCCTAACATTGATACGCATAATAGCGTTCATTTCCCTTGATCATGGGTGTAATCAATCTCTCTAATATAGCAAGATCCAGATTTACAATAAATTAAACAAGAATCTGCAACATATATCCAATTGGAAATGATAAGCTTTGTCAATAATCTTTCAATCAAAGTACTGTAGTGCCTACTTAGTACTTTAGTCGCATAGTTCTAATGACTTCATCTTGTTCAATTTTATAGAACCAGTGTATATCAATTTTACGGAACCAGTGTTTATCAATTTTATGGAACCAGTGTATATCAATTTTATAGAACCAGTGTATATCAATTTTATAGAACCAGTGTATATAAATTTTATAGAACCAGTGTATATCAATTTTTTAGAACCAGTGTATATCAATTTTATAGAATCAGTGTATAGAACCAGTGTATATCAATTTTATAGAACCAGTGTATATCAATTGTAAAGAACCAGTGTATATCAATTTTACAGAACAAGTGTATAGAACCAGTGTATATCAATTTTATAGAACCAGTGTATATCAATTTTACAGAACCAGTGTATATCAATTTTATAGAACCAGTGTATATATCAATTTTACAGAACCAATGTATATCAATTTTACAGAACCAGTGTATATCAATTATATAGAACCAGTGTATATCAATTTTACAGAATCAGTGTATATCAATTTTATGGAACCAGTGTATATCAATTTTATGGAACCAGTGTATATCAATTTTATAGAAACAGTGTATATCAATTTTATAGAACCAGTGTATATCAATTTTACAGAACCAGTGTATATCAATTTCACCAAAAATTAACCAAACAAATATGCCCTTGTACTACTGAACAAGAGACCAATCTAATAAAGCTTTTGTCTAGTACATTATTCTTGCAAAAATGAATGAGAAAAATAATGATCTGTGATGTTTAACTGTTCACTTGAGCTAATTTTGATTAAGTAATTATAACTCTTCGTTGGAGAAAAAAGGTTGCAGTACAGCTGTACCTGTATAACCAGCCTGTCTGTTGTCGATCCTCCACAAAATAGCAGACAGCGACCAATCTTTGGCAAAACCAACTTCTCTGTCAACATCAGGATTGGACACATTCAATACTTCACTGAGATTTCCAACAATGAAATCTAAATCTTTGGTAAATGCCAAACATTCATCTGTCGCTGGGATCACATTTTGTCCAAAAGAACACTCTGCCATATCCTTAAGTACCTGAACAATCATGCGCAGGAACGTTGTTGGACAGCACCCTAACGACACAAATGTGGTCCTTGTCTTTCCAGAGTTAACCCCCCTTGCGACCAAGGGAACAAAGTTACAAAATGAAAGAGTTGATTGAGATAGTTGGTTCTTCTCAGCACCTGTCACTTGATTCTGGAAAGTTTCTGATGAAAGTATATCTCTGATTTTATCAACCCAACATTTCCATGGAAATTCACTATCTGGAGCGTCCTTCAATGCAGCATTCAGCCCAATCTCTCTTCCTTGTATAGCAGCACAGCTGTATTTCCCCATTGCTTGAGAAGGTAAGCTCTGAACCTGACCACCATCCTTCATATCAATTCCAAATACATTTGACTTCATCCAATCAGAAATTTGATTGAATTTGGTTGGAGATCTTGAACCGAAACAAATGCTGAGGAGCAACAACTGGCACAACTCAGAAAATATTTTCTGTTTGTCAAGTTCAGTGAATTTTTGACCAGGTTCTTTTTCAGAATTTCTGACTTTTTGAGTGTCCATCATCATGATCTGTTTTAATGCGTGACCTATCTCTGTAAGTGTTAGTACACCATTAACATAGCTCTCAGGATTACTTGTTACATAGGACCTTTCTTCAATACAAATTTCTCCATTGGCACTGGACATTTTCATTTCATTAGACCCTTTTGATTGGGTAGACATATTAACTGGATCAACTTTCAGGCTATCTGATCGTTTAATTTCATCTTTGTATTTGTGGATACAAGCTGTCCTGGGAAAAGTTATGAGAGCACCAACAAAATAGTCGGTGATGAGTTTTCCCCACACTATATCGTTGCTATCAATTTCATCATCACAAATATGGCTAACAGTGTCATGCAGCAGAGACCTGGCAACCTGTTCCTGGATCCAGATTAGACTCTGAAAGAAATAGCAGAACAGTGATCAAACAAGTTTAATGTATCATTTTAATGCTAGGTTTAATTTGGAAAAAAACATGTTATGTAGTCTATAAAAAAAATCATATTAAAATTACAGTTTTCAGTTCTGTAAAAACTTCATAATGCCGTGGTCTTTCCAGCAGGATTTTGGCATTATAAAGGGGTCCAGTGGTATTATGAGGTAATTATATAAAGGTATACAGGAATTGGAAAGGAAAAATGGAAAATGTAACTTTCAAATATAATGGTGGAAGGGAAAGTTTGCTAATGTAACATGTGGGCATTAAAGTGAGATTTGACTACATTTAGAAAGTACTTCTGCCATCAATCGTTTTACTAGTAGATACTTTATGAGGATCCAGATAGCTTTATTTTAACACTCACATCAAAATACAGTTGAAACCATCGACAACGTTTAACCATTTCCATAAACAAAGTGTGATTGACTGGTGGCAGTATTGAACACAGGGCCTCCATTTTATCCACCAGTTTCCCTGGTTTGGTCTCTTCATCTTCTCCCGGGATGGCATCTCTGTATTGTGTGACTATCACCTTGTACAGGAGAATACTGAACAACTGGGAACTCCAGGCTTCCTGTACAAGAGAAAAGCGATGGTGGATCTGTAAATGGACTGACATAAACATATACTTTCATTGTTCAAACGTTTTATGACATATTTGAGTAATTATTGAAACAAAAGACTCAGTAAGCTGGATCATTACAGAACACAGATGATTTAGAATATTATCAATGTCACTGAGGCCTGTACATGATGGTCTTGAATTGTACCATTACATTGAACTCTGCCTTAGCACAGAATTATTCTATGCCTGAACTTTAATTTCATGCTTTGGTGGAGTGTTTCATATGTTGCTTGTCCCTGCAGACCTCTCTCCTTCTCTGTACCTCTACAGATATCCTGTACCGCCCTGCCCTATTAAGGATTAATACATAGTACATGTATTTATAAGGTAGACATTACCTCTTCCTGTGGGTCTCTGTCCTCTTCCAGACCCCTACAAATCTCCTGTATTGCCCCATACAGGATAGAAACACACTGTCTGACATCATTCTTGGAAGTCTTTGCCTTTCCTTTAACCAAAATCTATAAAAATATAACAAAATATCTAAATTGCAAATGAATGTAATATGTTAATTCTGCAAAGATTTTTGTTCCTGTTTGTTCATGGATGATACAAATTTAAATATACTCATGTATTCTTCTTCTTCTTCCAGGTAAGGAACCAAATTCAATAAATGAATGTATTTGGTTCGGCGAGAACTTTGCGCAGTGTATTCACATATCTTCAGGGTCACAATTTAAGCCCATTACAATTCCAAATTAATATAACGGTACATATATACTGCTAGTAGGTTTAGGCCAGATGACTGGTACTGGTAATATAGCTCTGTTCTTTAGAGCATCTGTCAAAGGTTCAGAGCTCTCCGGGTTCCCTGTCTGGCCCTGTCACATTTGTTGAAGTCCTGTTAATTATAGATACTGTAAACAATATTTGTTTCCAGTACTAGCTAACTTATAGACCAGATTGTATGGCTCATTTCATCATATTTAGGATGGTACATGTAGTTCAGAGATAATATTATGTTTTTCTTGCTTTAAATAATGTAGTCATGGGTAAACGTTACAGCAAGATCTTACAATCAGATCCAAGTGGTAAATGCCCCATCCTTGTTTTCTTTTAAGACCAGGTTAAACAAACACTGGGAAAATCAGCTAATAAGTTTGAACCAAGCTTCTACTAATTAGCTGGGGAAATACATATAGGTTTCCCTAACAACATTTAAATTTAGCATTTTTTTTACCCATGAAACCTTTTAATATCTATACTTTCAAGTATAGTTCATTGGCAGGTCTGGAATTAATTAATCTCAATGTGTGTATACTAAGTACTTGTGATTTATACAGGCCCGTTAGTCCTTTTTTACAACTGAATACCACTATTTTAAAGGAAATTAGTTATATAGTATGCAACTTTTTTTACCACGGTTTGGAGAGCTGCACTGTCAATTTTATATTTCCATATCGTTTTTTAAATTATAGCCACTTACATATATATATGTACTGTAATATAGTGTAAGTCCTTTTACTTATATTATCTAAGGCTTGTAAACGTAAATTGTGTTTACACCTGATGTTTTTTCACAAAGATATCAAACACCAATGTATATGAACACTGTTAAGGTATCCGTATCGGTTACTAAATATATATGAACCACTAAAAGATACCTGTTATCCACTCGCTATTCCAGGATAGGTATTACAAGCACGCTTAGACTATTTGCAGATGACAGCATAATATACAAGACAATAAACACCAAAGAAGACATTAAAACTACAACACGACCTCGATGCAGCAGGACAATGGGAGACGGACTGGCATAATGCAATTTCACCCCGACAAATGTAACATACTTAACATTACACCGAAACACAACAAAATACACCATGATTACAAACTCCACAACCACACATTACACAAAGTAGAAACAAGCAAATACTTAGGACTAAACACTACAAAACCAACCTACGATGGGACAAACACATAAACAATATCACAGTCAATGCCAATATAAGGTCCCTAGGTTTTCTCAAACGCAACCTGAAAATAAACTCACCACATATAAAAAGAACATGCATACAAAGCACTAGTTAGGCCTAAACTTGAATACTGCTCTTCCATTTGGGATACACAAACCAAATTAAACAAATAGAAAAAACACAACGAAGAGCAGCACGCTACGTACAAAACAGATACCACAACACTAGTTCCGTAACAGACATGATCCACACACTTCAATGGCCAACACTACAAACACAACGCTTATACACTAGAATTATCCATTTTTACAAAATTATACACAGAATCGTAGCTTTAAACCCAACACATATACTCACACCTGTAGACCCCCGCACCAGACAGGTACACCCGTACGCATACAAACACATATCTGCTACAAAGGACACCTACAAATACTCATTCTTCCCACACACAGTAACACAATGGAATCTCCTTCCCTTAGCAGCAGTCCAATGCACAACACTAGAGGACTTCAAGGCACACTTACCCTACACAGCCCTTGAAGCCCTCATCACACACTAGTACATCCACCAGATTTTAACTTTTTATCTATACCTTGCACAAAAAAATCACAAAAAAAAACCACCCCACCCCTAATCACTATAAATAACCCCCTTCCCGCCTCTACAATAGGACCCCCCGATGGCATAATCATCAAACTGATGGAGCCCTCGTATCAAGAAGAAGAAGAAGTTGCTTAGTGCTATAAATAGACACACGTTGTCCAAACGGATATTGTCAGCAGATGGGGACACATGCCAGTTCGTTACAAACGTTAACCCTTGTGAATTAAAGGCGTTGTCAGAACCATTTCTTTAAGTGGCGATATGGGGGCATACCACATGTCATATATATATAATATAAACAATAGGAAAATGGCCCTATTTGAACTGCTAAACGACAGGAGTATGTGCATGGGGGCGGGGGGACAGAATGAGTCTTTGAAATACAAACAAAATAAAAAGTTCAAAAATAAGAATATTCCAATAGTCATATACCTTTTTGTTTGTCAGCAACAGTGCCGATTGCAACACAGCTATCTCTGGACAGTAGTGCATTGCATTTAGGTCAGCTCATGGCCAGTGTTTACAATCGCGGGTAATAAGCACTTTTCTATCTCCAAATAGTCCAATTAGAGAGTTCCCCTAGCCTATAGGCCTCGTGAAGCAATATATGCGGCAAACGAGGCCTGTATTTTCTTAACTTAATTAACAGGACCGTGCACACTCAAATTCGGCTCCGATGTTGACACATATTAGAGATAAAGTGTCTAAATATAACAATAAACATGGAGAGAATAAAACGAATTCGTCTAACGAAACAATATGGTCTAATTAGTCTTTTGGAAATTAATAACTCACAATAAATAAATTCAGACAAACAAACAAAAGTCTGCCTCTTATCAATGTTTTTGTTTATTTATTAAATTTCAATTGGTGTGAGTTGCTGATCAGATGGGTACGTCGTTCTATTTGAGTTTAAGAATATAGCTCCAAATCAATATACTAGTTCTTAGCTGTTGGCCAACTTTACAGGTTGATATATAGGCCTATGTGGAAGCATCATTAATTGTACACGTTTGGAAATTAAATGTAGATATAATATTTCAATCAATTAGCCATCGACCAGTACATTTTTAGTTTCCCTATATAAATGTTACTTATATAATTTATGAGATGATATTTGTATTTCTCTCTACTTCTACATGTAACTAACCTTAATTTGTTCCATAATACAATGTATTTTATAATAGAGACGTGTGCATGCATCATAATTTCATACTTTCAAGATGATTCCCGATTAAAAAACGTCTAGCACCCAACCAAACGGGTCTACAAGTCACTTTGATATATATTAACTTACAAACTGTAACTTGCGTCAGAGGTGGAATAGTGTTCAACTAATAATAATGAGTTTATCAATATTTAAGATATTAATGTATTTTTTTACTGAATAACGCAATATTTTTTCTGATATCAAATATTGTCGTGATATGTTTTGCTGTTTGTCTAGGGAATCCATCGATGTGCGTTTTAAACAGATACGCCAATGTTCAGAGGAAAATTGTTTCTTTCATCATTATAAAATGGACAGTTAAACCACGGACTTACAAAGCAATCTAATTTCTTGGTAAAAACATAAAATTAATTGCACCCTCAACAGCGCCAGAATTGTACACACGTCTTTTTATTAGTGATCTCATTCTTATATATATGTATATCTCCAAGCCTCTACTCGCACGGGCAGCACCTCACAACCTAACTGTGACACGATTTAATAAGAAAAAAATCACTATAGGATAAATCCTAGCTTTAATCATGGCAGTAATTGAGTGGCTCTTCTTTGTACCGATTCTTAAAGCTCATTTTCCTTTAGTTTGTGTGAATTCCAAACACACATGACGGATCTTTCAGATTTCTCCAGGATCATCGTCACGTGTATCTTTCCAATTGATATGATGTGTTCATTGGAATGTTTAGACCACTCAAATTCTGATATCGGTTTGAATATTGTGACCGCCTTTTTCTCTGTCTGTTCCTGTCCCACTATGCCTTACTTCGTGTTTCTCTCCATCCCTTCCTCTTTCCACTTTTCTATTTCCATATAAAAATATAATTAATATATATTGTGTAAATTGACTTATCGAGTAATTGTTTATATTCATGTATTTTGAAGAGAAAGACAGTGACGTGGTGTGAGAACCTGTGTCCAAATCTTTTGTAAGTATTTATTTGCAATACAATCTATCTAAAATCAATCAAGGAGTGCGAGGTCTACGTCCTTAGTGTTGTAAACGGTTAAGCAGTGCTCCATATTCACATATCCGTGTTCACAATGCCCATCACGATACCATGACGTATATTTCTTCATACACAGGCAGGAATTCGAATCTTCCGTACGTATATATAAGACTGTTCCATAGATGTATTATGTCTCTCCATTCACCGTGTTGTCTCGTAATTCACACAGTCGCTCAATTGTTAGCAACAGTTGGTGTAAATTTATAAACTACAAGAGATATACAATTATCCAGCACTGGTACAACACAGGATATGTACAACTTTGTTTTAATCACATTTAAAACACCCCCCTAATCCTCGTCCGCTCGCTTTTGCTAAGAGTTCCGATGTCTGTGCGAAATTATTTCAGGTGATGAAGGCAATGGGTTCTGTACCCAGCCTGGACATACTAAAGTCCGTGAAGCGTTCAGCTTTTAGAGTAATCAAAACAACGTTTTAACACGTTGTGTCAGTATAATGTGACTCGACGGAATGCTGTGCTGGGTGNGAAACCCCCTGCTGCTGTCTAGCACTGGCCGTGTGGAGCTCGCGCGCGGATCAATGAACACAGGTAAAATCTTTATGCTGACTTTAATCCGACCGTGCTGACTTTTATCGGACCGTGCTGACTTTAATCCGACCGTTCTGACTTTTAAACGACAATGCTGAGTATAACCCAACCGTGGTAAATTAAAGTGAATTTCAGTAAAAGGTCAGCATTGTTGGTTTAAAGTCAGCATTGTACGAGTATAGTCAGCATGGTTGGGTTATACTACCATATTACGAGGATAGTCAGAATTAAGTAGTCACTAGTGTATATATAATGTTGTAAACGGTTAAGCAGTGCTCCATATTCACATATCCGTGTTCACAATGCCCATCACGATACCATGACGTATATTTCTTCATACACAGGCAGGAATTCGAATCTTCCGTACGTATATATAAGACTGTTCCCTAGATGTATTATGTCTCTCCATTCACCGTGTTGTCTCGTAATTCACACAGTCGCTCAATTGTTAGCAACAGTTGGTGTAAATTTATAAACTACAAGAGATATACAATTATCCAGCACTGGTACAACACAGGATATGTACAACTTTGTTTTAATCACATTTAAAACACCCCCCTAATCCTCGTCCGCTCGCTTTTGCTAAGAGTTCCGATGTCTGTGCGAAATTATTTCAGGTGATGAAGGCAATGGGTTCTGTACCCAGCCTGGACATACTAAAGTCCGTGAAGCGTTCAGCTTTTAGAGTAATCAAAACAACGTTTTAACACGTTGTGTCAGTATAATGTGACTCGACGGAATGCTGTGCTGGGTGTCTTCAGCATGGTATTTTAGTGAGATAGTACTATAAAGTGAGCACCAGATATGCGCTATCACAAGGAGGTAATACACCAACATACCGTGTCTCCAGTACACATAAATATACACACACACACATGCACGAATAACAATACACATGGAGGCACGTCCTTAAATGACCATAACTGTTTATAGGACGTTAAACCCTGTACGACCACCTAACTAATTATATGAGGTAAACATAATCATTAAAAGCTGGTTTAATATGTGATTTTTATTGCCTTTCATCTATAAGAAAGTGAAAATGCATTTTCGTAAAAGTTGGTTTTTGTTCAGACTTTTGCTGTTATAATATAGAAATCCATCATTGTAAAAACAATTATAAATTCTGCTACTATTTGATGTAAGTTTTGGCTAAATTCCTGGTAAAATGGACTAAAAACGATAGATTTACAACGGGCTCACACATATTACATAAGTTCTAAACAGTTTGCTATCATTATGATACCGATATTTCGACATTGAGTTCACTGTTGTTATTAATGGAAGGTATAAAACTTCTCTCACACTAGAAAATAATTGCATACGGCTTTCTATGTGTGAAATAGTAAAATTAGCAGGATCCCATCTGGTGAACTTCCAAAATAACCGTTTTTAACATTACTTTAGGCCAATTTTGATTTCCATCCTTTTAGCCCCTAGTACCACCAATAAGTTCTAAAACTCCTAGAAGACAAAACAGCTGCCTGGTTCAGTGCTCATAATTCATTTTTGGCATTCTGTGTAACTGGTACTGAGGTAGAAACGTATTAAAGAAAACAACAAACATATAAACAACACATACCTGAATATACATATTGCATAGTTATATTTTATTTGACCGGTTTATCCTATATTCTAAATGACACAATTCTACTGATTTCCATTCGAAGGGCGGCTGTAAGGAGCACGAAATGTCAGTTTCCGGCACAGGAGTCGATTAACAATCTACATATTAATGTATGCTTTTTTATATTTGGCTTTATTCTTTTTGCCATCCAATTAAGGAAAATAACACTTTATATATCAATGGTGCATGAAAAAAATAGCGTAAAGTCTGTGATTTCAGTGCGCGTGACGTCATAGTCCAGTGAGCGTCAGGTAGTTAATGTACTTCTGTATCATTTTGTGTTGTCCATTGACTCAGGGATACCTCGACAAAACCTGAAGTGTTAAACAAATATGTCAATAATTTACATGTAAAAAGAGTTTGAACTTATTTGGTGATAAGTTAAATTTAAAATGGTAGATTTGCGTAGAACGTGTTCCTATTTAATTCTTGAACACAAGTCACTGTACCATGGAACATGTCTTTTGCAACATAGAGAGGACTGAATAATTCGATCGGTGGCGGTAGTTGATGGCAATCCATGATGTTATGAACATTAACTTCTGGTTGACAATACTACTAAATATACCGAATACTTACTGACACGTAGTTTTGCAGTACAACTTGGCAAACTTGTACCCTGGCGACCCTTTCTCACAGTACTTGTGTTTTTGCACCTTGTCACAGATGGCCTTGCTCTTGACGTCAGGGTCGAAGCTGGTACACGGTCCTGCCTCGTCTGTCGGGAAGAAACCACAATAATACAACGTGCACGGATTAAAAGCAAACATTCAAAACGGGAAACAACGATTTTTTTAAAATTTTGTACTTTAATTGCGGGGGCTACTACATTGATTGGGCAAATCAACATCAATGGCGTCACAATATAACTGGCAGCAGTTTATATTGTGATAGTAGTAACGTTGATAAGTACATTTTATTGGTTTCAAAAAAAAGGTCTTAAAAAACAGGTATGAATAATAAATAATAATAATAGAATTTATCACTCCTGTTTGCTGTAGACCAACTTATCACTAAGTGCCAAACCTCAAAAAGCCAATGATATAAAGAGAATTTGAATTTCTCCATGTGAACCGCAGAAGAGTGATTGATTTTGTTCCCCCCACCAACCCACCAACCCAATTATTTACCGGAAACATATAGCGTAGGTTGTAAGGTTGAATTGATGAATCACGGGCGCTATGAAATATGTTACGAATTCGCTAATGCCAATCTGGTTACGCTGCATAAAGTATTGACGCGATGAAACGTTTTCAGAAAAACAAATATCCCGTGTGAACTGTCTTTCCATAGGTAGGTAAAAACATCTATGTTTATCGTTTCCCTAGCAAACGCGGGCTTATTGTATATACTTTCCTTTACATTTTTTTTTATAGTTTTGTTTAAACAGCATTCTGTTTTGAGTACAATACATCAAAATAAACTGAAATGTTTTATACTACTACAATTTTTATCGGTTTTGACAATATTTTGATATTCGAATTCGTAATCTTTAAATGAGTAATATTTTCAATAAAAGGAACTGCAAAGAACCAATATTTGCTAGCTTATCGCCAACGTTATACATGAACGCATGGCCCCAAACAATCATAATGTCACACAGTCACTGCTGACTTTAGTAGGCGTACATAAAGGCAACACAGAACAGTTTAATAGTGTAGAACTCTGCCAGAACAATGAAAAATACCCATTTTAGCATTGTTGTAGGTAGTTTCTGTATCTCTTGACCTAGAACAGGACAACTATTTGCAATTTCAATAAGGATGCCTATTGATAATACTCACTGCATCCGGCATCTCCGATGGTACAATCCTCTGAAACAAAGAAAGTGTAGAAACTGAAAACGTCCGCTTTGACGGTAAGCTGGAATTTGGATTAAAACTTGTCATTAGTTCAAAATAATGTATACCTATATTTGTAATAGTGACACGTCTTAATTTCATAACTGTAGTTATTTGTTATTTATTTACATCTAGATTGCTTACTGCTTAATTAATTGACCTACCACAAATGTTTTCTTCGCACTTCCAGCCGAAGCCCTTGCCAACGGGGACGACACATTCAGAGCACGGGTCTCCAACATGGTAGGGACGAGTGTTGGTATGGAGACTAAGAATGACATGTAACATACATTACATCCTCTTTATATCAGAAAAAAATATAAATCAAATAGGACAACGTCCAACCCATGTATTTATTTTGATTGTAATGATTTAATTGGTTTGGTTTTATTTTGTTTAACGTCCTCTTAACAGCTAAGGTCATTTAAGGACGTGCCTATATGAGTGCTTGCGTGTTTGTGTACCGGAGACAGGATATGCTGGTGTGCTTGCTTCCTTGTGATTGTGCGGATCTGATGCCGACTTTATAGTGCTGCCTCACTGAAATACTATACCGAAGGCACCCAGCACAGCATTCCGCCCGGTCACATTATATTGACAACGGGTGAACCAGTTGTTACCATTCCCCTTATTAATGCTGAACATTAAGCACGGAATAACAACTACCGTTGTTAAGGGGGACATAACCCATTGACATTCTTAGGATGAAACTTGTGTCTGTAAGTTATGAAAAAGTGTACTATTTTAAAATTATATTTATAAAGCACCATTTCTAGTCTCAAGTAGATCATTTATAATTCCTAACACCTATGGGATGACAAAGATGTTCGACACAAACAAGAGGGGAGGGTATGTCTGTGAGGCCTGGATATTGCACAGGTGTTGTTCTTGTTTTTGGGTTGCATTTTTAACGGCTCATTTATAATGGCTTACCACTTGAATTTCAGGAACCAGAAACCGTAACAGTCAACATGTACTAGTGTAGGTAAATATTACACTAACTTTGCGAAACGCTTACAGTTTGTTAATCATTGATCGGAAACTCTATGTAGAAAATCGTACATAAACAACTAAAATATGGCTGTATAAACATAAAAAATATAGTTGTAACATTTTATTATCAATTATGTAAGTATGACTAATAATACTACTGCACAATTTGTACACTTTACTTTGAGTATGTGTGTGATTGTGTGTGTGCCCATGTGTTCGTTTGGTTTGGTTTGGTTTGGTTAAGTATTGCTAAACGTCCTCTTAACAGCTATGGCCATTTAAGGACGGCCTCCCCTGTGTGCAAGATGCATGCGTGTAGTGTATGCGTGTGTTTTGGGAAGCTGCGATATGTTCGTGTTTGTCTCCTTGTGATAGCGCGGAACTGATGCCGAATGTATAGTGCTACCACACTGAAACATACTGCCGAAGACACCCAGCAGGACGCCCCACCCGGTCACATTATACTGACAACCAGTCTTCCCACTCGTAAATTGCTGAGCGTTAAGCAGGATTAGGAACTACCATTTTTACAGACTCTGGTATGTCTCGGCCAGGGGACAGAACCCAAAGCTTCTTTACAGGGGCGAACGCTCAACTAAAGGCCAAAAGTGAGGCATTGTCAAGTGAGACATTAGGAAGAAGTAAGCTGTTTAGAAAGAAGAGAAAGGATAAGATCCCAAATTTAGTCGCCTCTTACGATTATGCGATGGGGACAGCAGGAACAATTTTTACGCCCTACCTGCAGGGACCCATGTGTTCGTGCATAGCGAGATGCAAAAATAAAGGTTGGGGATAAAGTGCCTTGCTTTGTTTCAATACATTGCTTCGTAATCAGGGTTTGGGTCGCTCAAAACAAAAAATGCAATTACGCATGTTCGTGCGTATGTGTGTGTACGTGACGGTTTTACTTACGGCGGCCAGTAATCACAGGCCCAGTACCACGCGTTGTTCCAAACAGCACCAGTGTCTGGCAGGTATAGAGTTGGACAAAAGTTGAGACCACATCCCACTTTAACTGTATCCCAGTACACTACCTGTAACAAGTAAAATTCATGTATATACCACTGCACCAGAAAACAAAGACAAATGTCGCTAAGGAAAGACGACAGCAGGATAGGAGACATATCGAAACTTCATAAATGAGAAATTTTCTTTACAAAATAAAAAAAAGGTTTGAAAAAAAAGAAAGAAATAAGATAATAAAAAAAGTATTTAAAAAAGAAAAGAAACAAAACGTTACACATTCCGAAGCGAAAGCAGATTCAAATGTAATCCGGGTAAAATATCATTGGAGATCTGTATGTAAAGTATCTGCATGTAGGTTAAGTACAAATCACCTACCATTTAGCTAATCACCTACCTGAAGGTAGTGTCCCACGAGGTCGTAGTCCACCCACGAATGACCGACCATGTCATAGTCTCCCTTTTCGTTGTAAAACAACTGAGCGACCTTTTCTATAGAGTGGTTACTCCCCTTCACGATGGCAAGGTTCTGACCGACTCTGGTGCCATTAGCACTAAATCAATAATCAAAATAGAGCATTCAATTTAATTTCAATTGTTTTCTATCTTTCTACCTACTATTTCTTGTTTTTCATATCAAATCTCCCTCTCTGTCCTTGGCGTTTGGAAGCAAATTAAACTTAGATAAACATAAAATACCAATCTGGTTTGTATTTAGTATGTAGAATGTATGCAGTAGATTACCGAGTTCTTCACGAACGAGTGGTTACGACTGTTATGATGGAAGTGTTTTGTAAACGTCATTTTAAGCATATATCCTTCAATAGTAATTTCAAATGTTTATAATAAAATGTCATTATACCTCCTGTTTCTTAAAAGGACGAAAGAAATGTATTGTGCTGTGTAATTTCTTTTTGGCAAACTGTATTTGCTATAATGTTTAGTTTTGACGGGAGCAATCACGTCTGTGTGTTTTGCATTCATCTTTCAAAAAGGTGGTAGACTCTGATTTGTTAGTTCCAGAGGTTTGCCGTAACATTGATGACCGCCATGATCTCACTTGCGTAAAGTGGTAGGGCTCATAATATATACACTTTATTCATGATTAATTTCAAATAACCAGTGCTTTCTAGTTTGAAATACATAATTAAGTGGATCATGCACCTCTCTTTCGGTGTCAACAGCAGTGTAGGCCAATTTGGATTTCCACTGTTTGGCTTCTAGCAACAATACTGTATTTAATACCATACATACTGTATTTAATACCATACATAGTGTATCTAATACCATACATACTGTATCTAATACCATACATACTGTATCTAATACCATACATACTGTATCTAATACCATACACAGTGTATCTAATACCATACATAGTGTATCTAATACCATACATAGTGTATCTAATACCATATACTGTATCTAATACCATACATACAGTATCTAATACCATACATACTGTATCTAATACCATACATACTGTATCTTATACCATACATACTGTATCTAATACCAAATTGTGTAGGTGCGATCACATCTGTGTGTCTTACGTTCATCTTCCATGATGGACTGATCGTCATCACCAAACAGGGCTAAGTGAAACATGTTTTCACCAATATCAGGTGGGACAGAATATAATAGGTGCATATTAGATTTTCTCGTAGCCTAGGTTTTGGAGACACAAAATTATGTCTGATATCACACAGGATCTCATATAAGTCAGGCATAGGTTAAGTCAGGTTTCACATCCTGTATGTTTGTTTGTTCGTATGGTTTTTATTGTTCTCGCACCAACTAATATTATAAGGTCATAAGGTCATATGAAGACGGGGACTAGATAAATACCACCAAAAGTAAAGAGAAGGGAAGTAAATAATGAAAATATTTATACCTTAAGTGTTAAAATGAGGCCTTCAGATCAATTTTGATACTTTGATATCCAGAGGACACAGATCTTAGGATAACATGCAGTAGGACACACAAACACATTTTCTCCCGGGACCTTCGGGAGTAGAGCGTCTGTCAATACAGCAACAAGATGCGTGTACGAGGTTCGCTGATTGAATACTTACAAATAGAGATTTGTATGCTTGAAGACGCACTTGTCAGCCAATGCTTGTCCGAGACGAGCGAGGGAGTCGTCCCAGTCCTATCAATACAAAAACACTGAAGTGTCAATACAGGTCCGTCAATAACTGTAACACATCAACACAGCCAAGGCACCGGGCATTTATTATCATTATTACATTATTAACGCCCCATCAACACAGTATTGTAAAAATAACGATCTCTTTTACTTTGGGGGAGAGCAGAGTAACGATGTAGCGATGTGACAGAGCTTATTAGTTTTGATGACATCGTTGCGTATTTTTATGTGAGCGCCAATGTAACAGAGGTCATCATTATTTCAATGTCTCCGCTAGGAGTCGAACCCGGGACCTCTGGTTCTGTATGAGTCAGTTAGAAGCGACTAGTATTTTGTACGAGGATGACTATGTTAACACATAAATTGATAAATATTATAGATAAATATTTAAATAACTCATAAGTATATAAATATTGTAATACAAGTACCATATTATCATGATCTTAGCAAACAGTATCCACCTGACATATTTAAATATCATATTATCATTTTGTTAACATTCAGAATAACTATGAGACAGATATTGTAAGATTATATCAAAATTGTGTTGACACATAGAAAAATCATGATATTTATTGTATTATATTCTTACTTTACATTGTAAGATGTAGAGTAATCATAACCTAACAAAACATTATTATTTGGAACATTTGGACCAGTTTATATACATGTATCACTGTTTAAAACAAATAATTTGTACACAGGTTATTGCGTTTAACAGCAGATTTTCGCTGTTCCATTACACAGTTAAAGTCTTCACATCAAAGTGGAAATTCCACTTGTAAAGCAACACTTTTTTAAAAATATAAACATACTCACTATTTTCCAGATATCTGTGCCGTGCTCCATCTTCCTTAACCTCTGGTGCACATCTACCGTGTCGTCTCGTTCAGCTTGTGATACCTGAATGGGTGTTTCCTCTCCCTTCATGAACAGACTCTGCGCAGCCTTCATACTCGTAACCTGAGACCCAACCACGTTCCTCTCGTCTGGAATTTCCTGACGCTGATTCTGTTGTCCTTTCCGCTGTTTATTTCCCCGTTCTTGATTGTTACGCCTATTACCTCTTTTTTCCTGTGCGACTACTTCCTCTTCCTCGTCTACGTCGTCAGCACCCCTCTTAGCATGAGCAAGTCTGTAAGAATTGTATTGATACATTTACAAATTTGTCTTTTGTCAACGTAAAGATTATATTGTCATTATTTTTGAAATTTTAAAGATACATAAATGTATTAAGGTATAGTGTATCTTTAAGAATGTCTTTTGAAATTTTGATTGCATTGTTTCAACAAAAGTTGAACATTTTCTTGTAACAATATGAATTAGTTTTCGGCTCAAAAATGGGGTATGCCGATGTGAGTACAGGACTATCGAATATACACCGGATCTGCAATAAAAAGGAAAATGCACACGATAAGAAAGTTATAAATATATGAATCTTATTTAATTTTACTTTGTCAAACATACCTTCGTTGATCAAGAATAGTTTTGACAAGCGCTCTGATTTTCAGATCCAAATTCTGAGATCTTTTGTCCGTATCGGATCGTTTGTCATCCTGTATATCCGGGGGCATTCTGAAATCCGAGAAACATCAAGCACATTAATGCGGCACAAAACAAAAGCATTAAGAAGCCGTAATCCACTGTAAGTAAAACATTAGAGAATTCAATTGTGGTTTTTCGTACTTGAAGGTACCTCCCCTGAAAGTCGTTCAAGATATAACTGTTGCTCGACTGTACTAGTGTACCGACTAGGGAGCTCAGTTGGTAAACTTGACAGTGTAATGATAGGAGGTCCAAAATTAGAATCCTGATTTAGCTAGTTATAGTCTTACTATCAAATCATCATTCTTGACGATTTTGGAAAGTTTGCAAGGTATGCTTTTCATAATTGTTGTTTTATTTAAGATGTGACCATGCATAAACAAGCGTGCAATCTGTCATAGCCTAGGAGGCGGCAGAGCAATTTGAAACAGGTAAAACGGGAGACCATTCAGTCACAGATGAGAGAAAATCTCAGTCATCGATCATTTTCTGGTGTTTTTAAAAAAAAAATCATACTCGTTATAATTAGATGCCTTCTACACGAGGAGACATTTTTGACTTTCAGATATTTGCACACTTGTTGGAATCGGAGCTCTCTCAACAAAATACGGACTTAAAACTTCAAACTGGTTAAATCAATAAAAGGTATTTAAAGGAACGGTTCCTATATTACTCGGTATAACTTAAAATATTAACTTAAAATAAACCTGAACTCTCTAGCTTTTGACATTTATATAGGTAGCAGTGTACAGTAGAAAATCTGACCGTAAAAAAGCATGTATGAGATACACATTGATAATGGATTCATCTTGCACAATACATAAATACAGATGTATATATATTCATGAAATACACTATAACTACAATTATTAACGACAATTGAAATGGTTTTTAAGAAGTGTTTTCCTCAGATTTTGGACTTCTGAAAATCAACAAACACCAAATGAAAACTGAAAAAAAACAAGATTTTTAAACTGAAATTTGACCCCCGCAGACAGACTTTTTTCTTAAAGCCTGTCTTAAATTAATTATTGAAACAGTTGCCTGGTACAAAAAATAGACTATATGGAAAGTTAAAAGCTTTTGTTCTGTAGACATATAAGTAAATGGCCAAAACTGTACTCTCAAACCAATTGTATTTTTTCTTTAAAAACCAACACTGTCCACCTCCACAATTTGCCAATTTAAGAGCTGATTTGGTTTTAGAACTTTGATACATGAGGTGTTACAGCGATTATTCATTAAAAATATCACCAATGGTCACCGTACGCTACTTTATACTGCTACCTTTACACTACTCCCCTTCTGTTCTACAGTACTTATAACTAGTTTGGAATTCCATCTTTTTGGCTCCAAGCATCAACGATAATTTCTTCAAGTGCAATACAGTGAAATTCATTTTTGGCATGCTGGACTTCAAACGAGTGTTATAGGTGAAATCACATGTGTGTCTTTAACGTTGATTTCAAGACCTATAAAGATCCTGACAGAATCTGAAATCTATATATCATTATCTAAAATATGTTATTGAAACTTTATCGTCGTCCGTCATCGTCTAATTCGTTTTATTTAGTGATATATTAGTCTGATATTTCTAAAAATGACACGCAGATTCAGACATCTGTTTTTCAATAAGACTGAAGCCCATCCTATGAAACCGTACACTGATAGATCAAATACAACGAGGTGATATTGTATGAAATATGGAGACTTATTGTTCACCATTTTAAGTATTTCTGCTTTGAATCGTATAGCACGGATTTTACACAGAAACTATTAAAGAACAATTCAATTTTCATGAGAATGTAATGGTGATGTTTTGTTCATTTTTTTCTCCTTTATCTTTAAGGATATTATCTTGAAGATGTCACATCTCTTCACCGATTTCATAATTTGACATTACTAAGTTACTATACAGCCATCACATGAAAAGAGATGCTGTGGTGACGTGAAACTGCAAACTTACGTTATGATAACAATTACATTCAACTTTTGTCAAGACAATTAATTTTTGGTTTCTCAATAGTATCATACAACAAATATCACTCATAAGTGTACATTTCCCAGACGATTCCCCGCATGAGCGTATGCAGGACCTATCGGCATTGCCAACTGTATAACAATAAAGTTTTTAGTTTTATTCGAATAAGAAGGGATGAGCCTACTTGATTTCCTGCATTTACTACTTGGTCTCAAATAGATAAAAGCAAACAGATTATTGATACTTATTGATAGGTTTAAACTTATTTAATTACCTTATTTCATCATTCAAGCAACTTTTTTTTATTACAGCATATTTATAATTGGATACCTTTGTACAGCACTTTCATTGAACGAGTTACACTTTAACGGGTTGTTCTTAGAAAACTTTTTATTACGGCATTTTCTTAACCTACTCTTAATAAGACTCCGGAAACAACAACAATGACACCTCTTCAACATTTCTGATTTTGCATTGCTCTTTAATTAAACTTGGTTTTCTGAATATATGATTCAAATGCAATTTATCTAGGCTAATGCTCGATTCAGTAAGTTGTTAAAACATTTTTTCTAACGTGAAACATTTGATTTTAGTAAACGAGAAACTGTAAACGTCATCTTCCTTCTGAATATCATAAAATACCCCAAATAATCCAAAACAGTAATTAAAAATATAAGAAATATTCTTTCTTCAGCCATATCTCACTGCATGTTATAAACAGCCACTTGTGTCATTTTAATAGCCTTTTGTTATTTAATAAATTAGTTGGGTTTTTTTAAATAAGAAAATATATATTTGACTTTAAAGTTTATTATTGAATGCATTTGAAATATCTATGTATCTATTATATATTAAATCATACCACAAGGCACAGACTATAACCACACAGTAACAATTATTTTATATATCTACCATGCTATACATTTGAATTTGCTCTTAGTTAAATTAAAAAGAAATAAAAAGTTACGATTACTCAGAAATTATTTAATTTAATTAATTTAATTGAAATGTCTTTCTACTTACTTCGTTAGTAGGTTTCATTTAGAAATTATATGTGTTTTTTAGTCGAAAAAATGTCGATAAAGACAACATTTGAATGCTCAGTGCTAATAATTTATCAAAACTGATACTTACATTTCTTCAGACTCGGGTGGCATGGCGCCTGCTCCCCGGAGATCAGACTCCTCGTTCTGGCACAAAGCAGCCACTATCAGCATCCCATGAAGTGATAATACTGTCAGCGCCTTCATCATAGGCTGTTGGAGTTTCTCTCAGTCTGTGACTGCCAATAGAAAGCTCACTCGCTTTTTATACAGCTACATGCACATGCGCAATTCTTAATGACGATGGACATGTATATACCTTTTTTTAATTAAATTCATTTTCGAACACGGACGAAATAGCGTATATCAGGAAAAAATCGATATGCATGTAAATATTTTGCTTCATGTGTATAATTGAAATAATATTTATCGTGTCATTTCAGGACATACACGCCCGTGAGATAAAATTAAAAGTAAAACACCGTATTCATCAGTTTTAATTATATAAGTTATGAATACATATATGTATTCACCAATGTTATATATTGGATATTCCTTAATTTGCTAGTTTTTATTACGCCTGGTACAATACATTCATACATTGAGTGTTTTAATTATTCACAACGTATCAACATCTTATTGGTGCGCGCCTTTGTTCGTGATGAAATTCCTCGAAGCATTAGTTTGCTGCAATGGTCTCCGAAAGGTCAAAACGAGTTTTATTGGAAAAATATCTAATATATGTGTTATTTTGTAATGAATTAGTGATAAACAAACATTGGGTGTATACAAGGAATTTGTATTTAGTTTATTTAATAACTCCGCCTTTCCAAGCTTTCACTATGACAGAATGACTTTCAAATATCTTTTCACGTTATTAGATCCTGTGGCTTCCCTAATTACTCAACCCTGTCAATAAGCATATTTCAAATACACTGTCTAACGACACGTGACAAATGTTATTGATAAGTTTGAATGCATGATGTTTATCATGCTCGTACGTTCCCACATTATTAGGTAAATGCACTGGACACACGTCCAATCACGTTAGATTATTTATACTGCCCTAACTGCCTAAACAAAATACGATTTGCTCATGCGGGTGATCTATGCAATAAATCACTAGCTCAGATGAAAACGTGATTTTGTGGGAAAAAGCGAGAATAGATGCGTTGCAACTTTTATCTTGATCAGACGTTTGATATTGAGGGGAGTATACACAACAGAAAAAGAGATAATAACTCCTGTTGATAATTCGTCAAACATTCAACAGAATATTTTTTTATCAATATTATTAATGCTTAAAGGCTCGTCAATATAGGGTGGTCATTAGGGCCAACAAATGGTCGACAAAAACAAACGCAAAATAAAAACAACAAACAAACTTAAAGGTATTAAAGATAAACATCAATTTGAATACTGAAAGTGGCTATGGTGACTTCAATTTTCTTAAAAGACCAACAGCTTTCAGATCGCCTAAATTGAAGAGACAGCTATGTATTCGAAAAGAGATTTAAGACATATGGTATCACTATAGAAACTCTATCGAGTTAACTGAAGGTCGATACAATCTAGTAACAAGTGCTTTACTGTTAATGGTTCCTGACACGCTATGCATTGAGGCTGGACTTCGAGTTTCAATAAATAACAATAGGTAATGGATGAATGACCCATCCGGAGACGGGCAAGGACAACCTCGTCTCATCAGTTCGTTGATTTACTTTGATTAAATGACAAAAACAATACAGATTATCAGTATCAGCACACAGTGAAATTGTTTGTCCTATGAGAAAAGATAGAAACTGCCATCGGCATACCTCTTTATGTTCAGGTGTTCATCTTTAGATGCAATGAAAATGGAACAATAATGGCGCAGCCACAAGATTTGATGCTAATTGCATTTGGTACAATACAATATGAAACAATATTACGTGATAATTATATATATGAAGACCAACCAATCACGCTACCAATGCGGAACTATTTTTAAAGTATGAATAGAATTCTTAAACCGAAAATTGATGGCGAAACGAGGTATTTAAGTATTTTAGATAATCAAAACTTTAATCATAATTTACTACGATACCAAACATATGTTATTATTGTAAATTATGATATTTTTTATTATCTTAAATACAATGACATATTAAACACGGAAGTTGTCTTGTAGATTACATACCATGGCGAGAAAGCAAGTTTTTAATTTATTACTTTAATCTTTCAAACAAAATTCCGAATTCAGGACAAATATTTTTACAAAATATATGTCAATATTTTTGTTCTTGAACATATCACCTAATCGACGTTAATTTTGCAATATACCTATGGGTAAAATAAAAAAGTATATTCTCTTATCAGAAACATGTTATTACATACATACAACGATGTATTTTACAAAATATCTTTAAATACATTGCAGTTATAGTTGTTGAAATGAACGGTAAAATAGAATATGATAATATACGGTCATCATTTAATAGGATGAAACCCAATCTTTGCAAAATGCACTGAAGAACAAAATATAAGAAAACATGATAAACAGTTAAGCTAGGATATTTCGTACATTATCAACATCCTATATGAACACACATTTCTACGTTGGTGCCAACGAGTTTCAGAGGCACCAAATGCCTAGTGAACCTTTTTGTGTTGCATCACAGTTACTGTTCATTTAGTCTAAAAATAATCTATTGCTATTTTGAACATGAATAAGCACCCGGTATCAAACATTTTATTGTCTACTGACACTGTGGTATATTTACTTCTTTGTTTTAGCTAAAATCCTATGCATTTACAATCAAAATCGTCACGGCGTCAACAAGCTGTGTTCAAAAAGAACACGCGTGTCAGCGTGTCACTCACTGCATCTGGCTCGTCGATTGGTCGATAGAACGTTTGAGGTCGGTGTCGTCCTTGATTTCAGAAGCAGTGTACAACATTGTATCTTTTTCGGAGATTTGTTGTTTGCGCGCATTGTCAACTTAAGATTACGCATACACGTATATGGAAATGTAAAATTTACATTGCATGTACATGTTTCAAACCATATGTCATTAGTTGAATGTTTCGTTGAATGTGTACTTATCCACATTTTCGTGAACTGTAATGGTATTTCTGATTACAAGAGGGGAAACTGAAGAATATTACACATGCTTGAAAGCTGTCCATTCCGGCCGCTGCACTGAAAAGTAATATTATAGAACGGTGCAAGATTCGACAACTCATTCACTTAAATAACTTAAATATATTTGTAAATTATATAATAACAATGATGTGCACGAACACGATAACATTTTATTTTATAATAAGGTAAATTGTGTACAATCGGTGCAAGAAACTGTCATTCAATGCAAAGAAGTACTTTTATGTATACAGTTTTATTTGAGAATACTTTTCATGACAATTAAACTGTATTAAGCTTTATTGGCTGCTGATTATCGTTAAATGAACAATGTGAAGGTAAGAATAATTACCAAAACAAGACTTTCCTGATTTATGTACCGTGTGACGCTATTTATTTGGATATCATTTTCCAAAGTCTATTTTATCAAAACTAAAGAAGGCTTGGAGAAGAAATTTCATCAGAACCCTCGTTGTCTCATGTTTCAACTATGCATATTTTCTGGCGATATTGATCGCTTATCCCCAAATATTCGCCAAAATACCGGAAATGTCCCTTCCAGGGTACAGTAACGCCGGTTCAACGGCCTACGTAACTCTGATGGTATTTAGCGTTCTTTTGTTTTAGAACCAAGCGCTCGAAATAACAAATTGTGATAAAAACGAAAAGTGGATAGTATCTATTTATGAAAAATGAACAAACATTTTTGGAATTGATAGTAAAGTATTGTATAAAGAACATTGATATTTATCTAAAAAGTGCCCCGATTTGGGTACAGTGACTTTAGTTAACCTGTGTGCCGATAGTATTGTGTACCCACGAATGTCAGCTGGAGTGTTATTCTCGATGGAGCGTATCCATGGAGATAATTCCCCGGAAATTGATACCTTTCGTTTTTATATAGTTTTTTGTTCAATATTGAAAAAATATTGCAATTACAATCGAAACTGTTTAGTTTTTATCAAGACAGGAAATACTTATACCGGCAAAAATTTGCTGCCGGTATAAAAAAAAATCATGCATTTTTTTTTGCATATTCTTACAATTTCGTTCTGTTGTATATGTTGTGAAAACATACGCAATCACAAGGACTAGGCACGTTCTTATCACCCAGAATGGAAGGTATTTATTCAGTCTGGGTCATAGGAACGTGGCAAGTCCCTGTGTAAGCAATAGCATGTACGTATGCTCAGCGAAACAGTCTAATATGGCAACTAATTGATATAGATATATATGTATGTGGCTTGAAACATTTACAAATATATTTAACACGTATACATTTGCATGTTAACGTTACAAAAGTCAAGCAAATCTTGCACCGTTCTATGATGCCGTGACGATTTTGATTGTATGTAGGTATGGCACAAATGCAAATAATTTAAGCTAAATGTTGAAGATAATAGTGATGGATAACCAATACAGTTTCCGAGGTCTATCCTAAATATATACAAATGTAGTGTAGATCATACATGTATACTGTTTTTAACCATACACAGTTTGCTTTAACTGTTAAAAGATACACAGTACATTAACAATTTGATTTATTAGGCCTTTATTTTCAAAAGTTATACAAATAGTAGAATACTATGAGGTACTCATTACATCTTCATACAATATGAATATATTCTATGGTATTGATAACTTTAGCTGGTACAATACAATCAAGTTATCGCGACGTTTCCAAAACACAAGATGCAGAAATTCAACGTATTTAAAGTCCCGACTTTGTGATATGCATTTATGTTATAGCACCTATGTATCAACAGCTAACATTGCTGATTGAATGAAGTTGTCAGATGTGGACACACAATGTACAACGTCACTTAACCTACTAGTTTTTAGTGCTCATACAGAGCTATTCCATATCATATACATCGTACTTTGGTCTAAATTATCGATAGATGTATAAGAATATACATTATTAAATGATCTTTATAATGTCATCATATTCCTATGGACGCTAATCTAATTGTTTATTTATTCCAATAAAGATTATTTTTGTAGAGTCGAAGTGGTGTACAATTAAGCTTCATGCAAGTTATAATTAATAAAACTTCAATGTTATATTATGCCATCATAATAACATCATTAAAGCAATTAAAATACCCTAGTAAATTCATACGCTATATATTTCGATAATTATATCAAACCCCGATACAATCGTGATAAACCAGAAAATAGTTGTTTCAGTTAGCGTCACATTAACGCACGTCAATGGATAATTCATTAGTCTGACACCTATCTGTTAGTTAATTGGTATGAGAAGGTCTAACACCTATCTGTTAGTTAATTGGTATGATTAGGTCTAACACCTATCTGGTAGTTAATTGGTATGAGAAGGTCTAACACCTATCTGGTAGTTAATTGGTATGATTAGGTCTAACACCTATCTGTTAGTTAATTGGTATGATTAGGTCTAACACCTATCTGTTAGTTAATTGGTATGATTAGGTCTAACACCTATCTGTTAGTTAATTGGTATGATTAGGTCTAACACCTATCTGTTAGTTAATTGGTATGATTAGGTCTAACACCTATCTGTTAGTTAATTGGTATGATTAGGTCTAACACCTATCTGTTAGTTAATTGGTATGATTAGGTCTAACACCTATCTGTTAGTTAATTGGTATGAGAAGGTCTAACACCTATCTGTTAGTTAATTGGTATGATTAGGTCTAACACCTATCTGTTAGTTAATTGGTATGATTAGGTCTAACACCTATCTGTTAGTTAATTGGTATGAGAAGGTCTAACACCTATCTGTTAGTTAATTGGTATGATTAGGTCTAACACCTATCTGTTAGTTAATTGGTATGATTAGGTCTAACACCTATCTGGTAGTTAATTGGTATGATTAGGTCTAACACCTATCTGTTAGTTAATTGGTATGATTAGGTCTAACACCTATCTGTTAGTTAATTGGTATGATTAGGTCTAACACCTATCTGTTAGTTAATTGGTATGATTAGGTCTAACACCTATCTGTTAGTTAATTGGTATGATTAGGTCTAACACCTATCTGGTAGTTAATTGGTATGATTAGGTCTAACACCTATCTGTTAGTTAATTGGTATGATTAGGTCTAACACCTATCTGTAAGTTAATTGGTATGATTAGGTCTAAAACCTATCTGTTAGTTAATTGGTATGAGAAGGTCTAACACCTATCTGTTAGTTAATTGGTATGATTAGGTATAACACCTATCTGTTAGTTAATTGGTATGATTAGGTCTAACACCTATCTGGTAGTTAATTGGTATTATTAGGTCTAACACATATCTGTTAGTAATATGACAAGTTATTACCTTCATTCGACAAAGACTTTGATATATATCTGCAGTTCATTAAGAAATATTCCATTTTGACAGTCATGTTCTAATAAAAACAAACCCCAGCTACCTATGTTCACACAACGACAGTATCGCATATTGATTGTTAATTATGATATTAATCAAATATGTGAATTTTGCTTATCTTCTCGTCCGGCATAGGTAATCATCCTAGCCCAAAAACTAAGGTAAACAAAATGATTCTACAAACGATCTGTCGAATTAACATACATTTGTATCATGCGATTGCAGCACTATTATGTTGTTAAACGAACCGACAGTGACATCATTTTATATCCAGAGTTAACAAATATGGAACACGGTTAATATCAGCAAGTTATTCAGCAACTTGATTCAACAGCTGAATTATCTTGCTCATCTATAAGCCAAGGAATTTATTTTGAACATGTCGGAGTGTTTTGATCTATCCGGAAATCTGGCGAACAAGGAACGAATTTTTATCTATTGTTGGTAAAGTCACAGATCCGTCATGCGATCGATCAGTCTTATCACCCTGGTAACCGGCACAAGCAGGCTTTGTACAAGCGACTTTTTGTGCCAACTGTTCAAGTCTCTCTCTTCGTGTTAGTTTCCGGAAGTATATTTCCGATTCCGATTGAGAGCATATTTGATTTCGCAATTGATGTTCATGTGAATGATGATCACGGTGTAGTGATCCCTGCACGTAGGAATCACGTCGACAGTGTTCTAAAGGTTTCAGAGATATTTTGTATAAACTGAAAATCGGAGGTAGTTTTTGGGCAGCTTTTTTCCGTCTCTGTTCGACCAACTCCTCGTCAAAATAGTCTATCCTCTTCTTTTTTGCTTCGGCGTATTTAACGCCCCAGGTCTCGGTCATGTAATCTTTGATCTTATCTGTCATTGTGTCCGATCCCATAATCTTTCCTTTGTCCTGTCCCTCCTCTAACAGGGACTCGCATATTTTCTTTTTCCTGATTTTGGGATGTCTCTCGGCCAGAAAAATGTCGATATCCTTACTAAAGGACTGTAATGATCGGCCGTTGTAATGTCCATACAGGGGCCTAATCCGAAGTCTGGAACTATCAATGCGATTTTCCTGAAGACATTTCTGCAACGCAATTCTCTTTGCAAATTTCTGTCGTACTTTCGCCATCGATTTCTCCCTCTGTATACCGAAGTCTTGTTTCTCCTTCCTGATGTAATTTACGGTATTTTCCTGTTTGTGTTTTGCCACATCGTTCATCACACAGTAATACTTCCTGTGACGATCCTCTAGCCTCTGTACCGCTCCCAACCTTCCTCTAAACATGACGGGGTATTTTACGTCAGCAAAAACGTATCCATCATGAATTATTCAATGATGATCATAATCAGTTATTTCGCAAATGAAGTTTGAGCTTAACCACACTCTAAGCGACTATAATTGTAATATCACCAGCTTCAACTGTTGTTATTGTGGACCCGTTGTATAGTGCTTCTGCATAATATTTTGAATGGCGAAGTATCTCCTGTTTAAACCTTTACCTAAATAACTCGTTGTAACACACATGTTTAAATTGCATTGTTTAAGTATCTTCCTTACGGAAACACAATGCCATTTGATTGACTTCGTTTGAATCCCTCCTGGGATGAACAATGTACATCTGTTTCTTCATGCATTTTTGACAATGTTCAGCAGATTATTTAACAAAGGTTTAATTGTTATGATGGCGATTCGATGCCAGTAAATATCTACGCTTGTAAGGGACAGACATTGTCTTCGTCGATGTTGTTTAGAACACGAACAATGAATACGTTGAAAATACGAAGACCTAACTTGAGTGTCACCTACCCTGTATGTACTGTATCTTGACTGTTTTTTACAAAGTCTTGTCAGTTTCATAGATAAATACGACTTTTAGCATTTATAATGTAACTATCTGGTGATTGTTATTTTAATTATTGATTTTTTTGGTGACACGCCTACAACACAGGTGAAGAATTCAAAATAGTTGATAAGGAATTACTTTTATTACTTTAATTTTAATGTTTATATTTTTTTACCTATCAATCTAAATCCTTTGATATCAGTAAGTTTCGCATCATTTAACATTCCTTCTTTTTCGCCCTCCAAAGAAGTCTAGTACACAACATATCAAAGGTTTGACTGATGAACAGTATTGCTTTAAGCAAGAATTATTTAAAGCTTTCTCAATCTCAAAAATGAGTTATCTAACCAATGAAATGCAAGTTTTCTGTTAATTTGTTGTATTTAAACGAAGCTGATAATTTCGTTACGTGATATTTTCAATATCACAGTGCTTACTACATGTATTTAAACACACCTAATAGAGCCCGAGGTGGTGTATGTTTGTCTCTGTACAATATGTCGTTAATTGTTATTCACCTATCAGATCGGTATACGGCAGTGCACATACAAAACTCGTATATATAGGATCACTTTTACAGTACCATGATGGTTTTATTTCGTGCAGTAATTAAACTTTGGGTTAACGAAGTCTTTGTAAGCCTTCCGAACCAAGACATAAATTAAAATTTGAACGATTACACGTGAATATGCATTTGTCCGAGTCTCTTAGGCCATTACATAAAGATAAACCTGCTTTTATGTTTTTTATCACTTCAGTACCTCAGTTGTATGGTAGTTCTGTCTACAAAGGGTTTTTTATTATTGCTAACTGATATTTGTTGTTGGTTTATATGCGCTAACGTACTGTATGTGAGCGTAATGTTAAGTGTATTATTTTCGCGAATGAGGCGTAGACAAACGAACTGTCGTGTCCTATTCACACTTGGAATGCTATCTGATTTGCGTGGTGTGCACGTTCAAGATAAAGTATCTTCAGAACGTTTAAAAAACACCAAGCATTACTCATCGGTTTAAATTATTTTCTTACACAAAATGTACTAAATGATACAGTAATACAGAAATATTTGCATATACAAATGTATACTAAAGACTTGTAAGGTATCAAGATAGCATATTTTTATCAAATGATTATGATACGTAACAAATAAAGTAGTGAAAAATAGGTACTGTACCTATATCATATTCAGTCTGGGACGATTTGGTACCGACTAATATTTCTAGATAGTTTTTCGCGATAAAGGGGGTCGAACTTGTATCACACCCCACCTTATCACTTTGTTACAGTTTTATCGAATTTGAGTTTTGATATTGGTTCCTACCTTGTTATCCTCTTGTCGGCTTTTTTACTAATCGTGATAATGACATATATAAAAGCAAATAGCTTAAAGTATCAAAATGTGTTTGGTTTGTTTTTGTTTGTTTTGTTCGGTTTAAACGTTCTATTAATAGCCAATGTCATTTTAGGATATGCCTCCATTTGTATCATGCATGCGTGTATGTGTGAATGTATGTTGTAGGCAGCAGTTGGAGTATATGCCTCTTTGCAATAGCCAGGATATGATGCTGACTTTCGAGTGCTTCCTCACTGAAATACCATGTCGAAGGCACCCACCACAGTATTTTATGTCTACATTTTACCAACAAAAGGTTCGAAACATACATTTTCAAGACAATATAATCGCTTTGATAATTGTTTTTTTATGATTGTGTGTTGAGCGTTTGTATCCCTTATCTTGAAATATATTGAATATTGATATATGAACAAGGAACGCAAGATTTTGCAATTTATTACAAATCAATCTAAACTATATACATTATGGATATTTTTCTTTATTTAACTATGTGCCAAGCTTATTGCGTTTTGTGAAACAATGACCTGGTATTGATTTCAACTTATATGAATGACCGTTTACAATATTATGAGATTTTGATCCGATTATCAAATGATTTATCATTATCACATACATGTTTTATATTTGCTTTGCTCCCTTGTAAACCGAATATTATTTGTAAAATAAGCACACGAGCAACTAAGATGAATGCGCATGTAAGACATATGTTAATGCAGATTCGTTCGTGAACTAATTAATAATTATCTCTATCGTAAACAAAGACACGTTATCGTATGGTCGTCGAACACACCTAATACAACATATGATGTCTCGCGAGTTACATTTATGAAGCTGGTCAAACAAACTTCCATGTAAACTCTAAAAGTATCTTTATATACACTATAAACAAACTGTCATGTAAAATTGTATCAGCGCTATGATGCATGCTTCATTGCACATAACAAGGACTATTAACTAACAATTTGAAAACGTAAACTAATACATCCCATTGGACATTCCAAACAATCCATTAGCACAGATACAAATGTAATGCACCATTCTCCATGTTTTCTTAACATCGTAACGAACTACACAGAATGTTTTCAATGAACCATGAGACTGGACGAGCGAAAGTGAAATTGCATTCTCTACTATTTGTCATTAGCCAAGCGTTGATGCAGAATTACTTCTCGCGATACGAAGTATAGGTGGCAATACCTTCTGTACAGTGAAAGTCCCGCCAATATATCCTTCACAACTCGGTCGCGAGCACTCCACCTTCCGAAGTAACCTATCAATATTCTGTTTCCGGTTTTGTTGATCGGGCTCATGGGGGCAGTCATTCTTTTTACTACGACCTAAGAGGGAAATCGGTGTTGTTAAGGACTTCTTCAATCCGGGCACTTGTGGTAGTTTACCTGTTGCTTTTACGGCCATGCGTTTCGGTTTAAATCTATCTTCAAATTTTTCCTCATGATCGTTCCCTTTATGCAAAGATTGAAACCTGTTCCCGTGTTTTTCGTTTGGTTCATCATCCTTTAGTGACGTTTTATAATTCACTCCCCAACTTTCTTGGAAATAGTCTGTGATTTTTTCTAGGACTTCATCTGAGTCAAGAATCTTTCCCTTCTTTCGGGCATCTTTTATCTGATGTTTTATTTTGCGTTTCTTCTGTTTAGCCGGGGCACTGTCCTCAATGTAATAATCAATCTGTGGGTTATACGCGTTAATGGGCCTGCCACCATAATGTCCATATAAGTTGCCCTTACCTACGTCCGAATCTTCTCGGTGGTTATTTAAACATTTCTGAAGCATTCTCCATCTTACAGATGCTTTCCTGACGTTCGTCGTGTATATCTCTCGTTTAACGTCAACACCATGTTTTTCTTGGGCTATTTTCCAGTTAAGAAAGCCATTGTTCTCGTTTTCGCTTTCATTCAAGACTCTCAGGAATTTAGAGCGCCTGTCCACCTGACGACGAATGCTGCCAAGTTTTCCTCTCAGCATGGTGATAGCAGGTATGATAACACCTCAGACTTAATGTTGAATATGTTCCGTGTCCTAAGTTAGAACTGTGCTATCCTGGAGGGCAGGAGCTTTTGGTCTACAAAGAAAGTACACATTTTCCGTAATAGATTCGTCAAACACAAACGGCGTTCTTTCACACAAAATGTGTATGTTATTAAGTTATTATTAGTTGAATTTTTATATAAGAAATATTCACCACAGAACATATGTGACTATTATTCCATTCACAAATTGCTGTTTTGGTCACCGTATGAATATGCTGAATGGGAATGTATTAATCACATAATAATATTCAACTTAAGTCCATTTCCCTTGAATGTTAGTCAGCACAACCTCACACAAATAATTCCATCGCACTTTTCTTAAATTACTATCATATCTACCCCAAACCACTCGGGTTCCTGTTAATTAGCTACTGATCTTTTATATAACAGTGTTAGCATATAAGTAGACATCTATTGGATGATAAGATTAATGAACGAATCAATTATTGACTGCTATTCAAAAGTTCGATTGACAAAAATCAACGATTAGTATATAAGCATATCTAGAGCTTGACAGAAATTCGTCCACCAATATCAAATTATCACAATCAAAAATCAAATATACCCAATACACATTAAATGTTATGCGTATTTAAGGACAGGAAGCACAAAGCATTTGATAGTTTATATAGATTTCAAAATATAGATAAGTATTGTAGTGTTATTATTATTGTCACATAAATTAACGATTAGTATCTGATTGGAAAATATTAACACTATTTTGTTATACGGTAGTTCCTACTGGTAGAAATACGTACAAAATTCGAAGTCGCTTAATTCAAGGATTTGTGACACCCAAAATGATTGAGACTATCGTTCGGAATTCATAATATACTAATTGGATTTTAGTCATCTATGTATTTTAGATCTACAATTTTATCACAAGGATAGGTGTTACAAAAATAAAATGTATACATTATATAGTATGTAAAATCGATTTACTTGTTATGCATATCGTATAAAGCTTACATGTAGGCTAACGTGTGTTTTCTGATTCGTATCCAATATCCCAACTTATCTATCTCAGGTATGTATAGCCTTGTACGCACCGGTGGCCCTTTAGAACCTTGTAATGTGGCATTATGTAGGCTACATTTAACATCAGCGGATCAGTAAGATTGGAGATCACCTAGCACTGGTTCCTTTGTCACTACATCTGTAAGGAACTGTCTGTCAAGTGTTATTGCTGGTGTAATGGGTTAGGAGTAACAGCGGTATTGGCTAGGAGTGTCGAGAGAATACCTATTATTAACATAATTTGTATTTTATTGAGTTTATCATTTAGCAAGTGGTGTTTACTGTGATACATCAGGTGCTTCGTTTTGACAGTATCATTTGCCAAAACGGTTAATATGTAACAACTCAATGAATTACACTGTGGCATCGGAAAGGTCAGGTTGGACAGTTATTCGGTATTCGCAAGACCGAATAACTGTCTTACTTGATTCTGCACAAGTGAAAATGAAGTTAGATATCATTGTGTGATACCCTCATAAACTAATCAATTATCAAACGCTCACTGAAGCATTTTACGATCATCGTAAAGTACGGGTAGTGAAACAATATCTGATAGTAATTATTTAACTTTCAGTTTTGTGCGACTGTACCTGTCAAGTTAGAATAATTGTGATTGATGCATATATTATATAAATTATTTAGCCGGATGTAAAATAATGTTAATAAAATGTTAATATAATGTCAAAATAAAAATTATTTGTGCAACCATATCTTGTTAAACACGGTCCAGAGGTAAGATGATTTACTTCGGATATATGAACTCAAACAAACAAACAAGGTTTGGAAGGAACACTTTGTTTTATTAATTGATTGATATTTTTTGAAGCATAAATGAAACAAGTGTGTGTACATAACACAAAGATACTATAACTAGTCGTCAATCTCCCCAATGAGGGCTGCGAATCCAACCACATTAGCGCATGTGCTGGTACAAAGGAGTGCCGCCTTGTAACATATACGGGTACAATAACACCGATTAGTGACTGCGATCCCTTGACAGTGGGGCAGGCACGTGCGGAACTTCTGCATGCACTCATCACATACCAGGGCGGAGGATCCCATCAGGAGCACAAAGGCTAAGACGATCACGAATGTAGTTTTCATCTGAAAAATGATTTGAAGTTTATGATAAGAAAGAGATTCACACATTGGTTCCTATTTATAACACTTTAAATACTTTAATAAATTCCAACATAAATACAATTCATGGTTACTCATTGTTTAGGTCGGTTTCACTATAACAACACCCATTAAGTGGGAGATTAAATAAAGAAAAAATCAGCGATGACAGTATCATTTAAGGTGTGTACACATTAATGTCATACCTTGTAAAATTGAATACAAGCTAAGTCAAAAAAAGCACCCACACAGAACCGAATCGTAAATTTATTGGTATGTTCTTCTAAACTGAATTCCCACAAACTATACATACAATGTATTTGAAGGTATTTCTATGCGAGTAAAAGATATCGAACAATTTTATTGGGTTTTGATACACTTCAAAATATTAACATAGCAACTAACAGCTAACCAGTATCATGTATATTTTTCGTGTACTATATTTGCCAATAAACGGATCTCAGGAAATTACCTTTGCTTCAGTGTAATACGTAACATTTACAGAGATCTACGTCAATAGTGTGACTGTTGATAGTAGCGGCGAAACTCAAATCAAGGGCCAAGTCTAAGTTAAAAATTGTTATCTGTAAAAAATCTTTCGTAATTTCTGTTTTATATATCAGAACCTCTGTGGTATAGAAAACATGCATAAGGCTATTTATTGTTTTTGCTTCTAGTTAGATATTAAATTGAAACAATTTGATAACATTGATAACTTTTACACACTGACAGATTTCTAAAGTGAAACCTGTCGCAATGTAAATCTATCAACTGTGGTATTGACCGATCAAAACGGTACTAAATGTATCAAATTACTGCATTCAAAGCTGCGTAATATATTGATGAAGAGACGGTAAAATATGTGGAGATTTTTGTACACCTTTACTACCTACTTGAGCAACGGTATTTACATATTACCATGTTGACAATTCAAAGCGAATATGAAAAAACGACATCAGAAGACGGTAGAAATGCGTTGAGTAGCCCACTCATTAGAACAGAACGCTGCTATGTCCCTCAACGTTTGATCCACAACAAGTTGTGCTGTTGTAGGCACGTTAAATATGTCATAACATAATGGTCTTTTTATAGTTTCCCCGATTGATTCAATGTATATCGAACTTGTATGGTATCATGCAGTTTGTGTTCAAGCGTGCTTCGCACTGGTAAAAATATCCATAATCTGCCTAACCTGTTTATTGCATATATGATATTTAAAGGGAAACATATCAATATCTTCCATATCTCCCTGAAAAAGTTAATTATTGCCAACATAGAACATAGACAAGTGTTCTTATTTACGACGTTTTCTTACCTTTTACTGCTGGATTGACCTGATAGGATGTAAATGCAGTGTTGGATGGCAGTCTGCTGTATAATGCATTGCCCAGTATGACACGTATATATATCGGTGGAGCTTACGTAACTTTCCCCGGCACAGGCTGGTGCCGTAAGGGGATGCTGCGACACGAGGACCGCTCAATTAAATTGACATAGTGTCACTGTAACGCGTGTACGTACATGTACTTAGTATATGCATGCATTGTGATGACATAAGACATGGACTACCACAAAGAGCTGAATGTGTTATTAAAGTGAAACATGAAATTATACGTAACGGTATTATTCTGTTTTTCATTTTGTTATAATTTTGTTTTGCTTTTTATTCACACATATTATATTACATATCCATACCTTGTAGATATTTACAAAATACTGACCAACGACATACGGGTTGAATTTTTCGTTTCTTCCTACTTGGGATAATCGATTTAAAATTAACAAATTTGTGACCTACGCCGGTAACATTCATTTCCGAAAAACGGTAACTTCACCTTCCACATTTTGATACTACATTGTCTGTTTATAATATCGCTTACTACTGTTTGCTGTAATGGTAAACTTGTTCTCATTACGGATGGCGAAAAGGCGAAAAATAAACTGCGGTATACAGTGTTAAGACGTGTGGTAACATGTTTCAGTTTTCGCACATTTATCATTATAACTTACTCTTTGTTAAGAATGATCGTAGCTGTGATTTTCACCTGGGACCGAGGATGCTTAAAGATCATGATGTGTACAGTCAACATAATGTAACGTTACGCTATAGATATATGAATGAGTTTCTGATCTGTAATTGATCATATCTAGCACACCCAGACAATAATATCTTTTACGACGGTAATTTAACGATAGGTATGTGTTGTATTAAGACTGATTGTCTTTAAGCGTGTTTATCCTATCTCTTTAAATATGTATACGTTACACGAGTTCATAACAAGGTCTACAGAGACGAAATCTACTTTTTAACAAGATTAATGTATACCTATTAAGTTTTTTTATGAATAGCTAGTATCATATTTTGAAATCTGTTTCATTACGTTACTTAAAACGTTATCTTTTTTTCATATCATACACTTTTTACAAATAGTTTTAATTTGTTCATGTCTTATTTAACACTTACAAATTCAATTATTTAGAATTGGATTCTTCATATCAACAATCCTTCTATATCGTCCATGAGACGAGTTTATCGCCTAGGGCCATTTAGTATAGAAATGAGACACTTGACGGAAGTATATTCTTTCTTTAATAATGTTCCATTTTTTTTCTTTCTTCATTTGTGTAGTGATTCTTGGCGATATAATAAAACTATAATATACAATAGTTGATCGAATATTTGAAAATTTGAAACAAAAATGTGCATGATATACATATCTACCAATATGCAAATTGTAAAAATTGACAAAACAAACGCTTATATTTTATTGATTAGGACCACAGAAGATATTGCAATAAACGATAAATATTCAAGAGAGTTTTTAAGCTACATTTTATAAATAATCAATGACAGAATATATCGGCTGTTAAAGCATACAATTTCAGTGATACTGTAAAATATTACCCATTCTCGACACAGCTATTCAAAGTCTGAATTCGATTGCCAGCGGAAGGCAAACTAGTGTAGGTCGATCTTATCTGAACGAATTTGTGTTCTTTTTCAATTCGATATTTGACGCGATTTATCTAGGCAAGCTACTTTGAATGGAATTCACACTCCTAACGAAACAGATCTAATTTAAACTAGACATTGTTGGCTAACCATTTGACGGGCTTTTCACCGTTATGACTGGTTTGGTCTCTCATTACAAACCTATTTTTCAACCTCACTGTCTTTTCCCTCTTCGATGAAAACGATAATATAAACCATAGTACTGAAAGTAAGCTTTGCTTGTCGTTTGATATAAATCAAAGTACTGAAAATCCTCATATACAATTAAAAAATTCGAAAGTTGACCCCTACCAAAAACCGGAAGTTGACTTCTTATACAAAAATGATTCCAAAGAATAATATGCAGTTTCATGCTCTCCATATCATACCAATATATAATGTTAATGACTGAAACAGTTTTCGAAATATTATGGTGTAAAGAAATTTAACGATTTAAATATTTGACCTTTGTGACCTTGAACGTTGATCAAGGTCAAATACTTTTTCATACCTGATAGCCAAACATCTTACCAACAAACAGATCAAATATGAACACGCTAGACTTCGTAGAAATTTTGAACTTTGACCTCCACCAAAAACCGGAAGTTGACCTCTGAGACAAAGATGTTTCCTGAGAAAAGTATGCGAATTAATACCCTCCACGCCATAGTTAAATATCATGTAAATTCCTCGACAAATCTTCGAATATTTTGATTTAAAGAAATTTAAGCTTTTTTTAACATTTGACCTCTGTGACCTTGAATGTTGATCAAGGTCAACTATTTTATCAAACATGATAGCTAAACATCTCAGCATCTTGAAAATCAAATATCAAAACTCTAGATCTAGTAGTACTTTAGAAGATTTTTAAAGTGTGTTACCCAATATGGTGCAATTGAACTTTGACACCTACCAACAACCGAAAGTTGACCTTTGACCCAAAATTGGTTCCGGAGATAAACATTTGTTTTGTTGTTCTTCAAAACATATCCAAAGATGAACTTCAGCCAATAATTAGTTATTGCGATTAAGGTAGAAACGGAAATGACGTCATGGCAGCCATTCTGTTTTCTCTATAGAGTAAAAAATGGTACCAAATTAGGTTGACAATCAAGGGAAACCTTAATACTATGTTAAAATGAATTTACCGTCATAAACACTGGAGAAAAATGCTGTATTTAGTTTTAAAAGATCAAAAAAATATTCAAAATGGCGGAGAATGTTAATTGTTAATGTTACAGAAAAATTGAAGGCATGAAATTCACTAGGATAGAATTCCCCATTTATAGCAAAAAAGGTTTTGAAAAAAAATGAATTGGTGACCTTTGACCCAACAGCGAGGATTTTTATTTGACCTTTTTTGTATTAAAAGCTACCGAGAAAAACTTAGCTGCGAAAATGATCTACAAATGAAATAATTGCATGAAAGCTGTAGTTTTTTGAGTTATGGCCATTTTTAGATTTTGACCTATGACGTCATGGCGGCCATATTGGAATTTTGACCTACTTGAAAAAGTTGCATGCATACCCTAAGACCTTGGCCTACAATTTACTTGAAAGACAATTAACACATCTGCTACCAATCAAACCATTAGTTGCATACAAAGTCATGACAGAATAATAATAAAAAGAAAAAGAAACAACAAAAACAATAGGTCTTTTCGCAGAAATTGAAAAGCCCTAAAAAGTTTGGACATATTTATGTATGCTATTAAACATTAATGCACATTCAACAGACAATAATTAAAGCAATGGAATTATATCGGAAACAATACGTATATATCCGGAGGTTGACCATCTGTTAATATTGTAATAGCAATTGTTGCAATTGAAAAATAGGCCCATCACAGACCGGACGAGCTAATTATTCATCGGTATGTTAGCATGTGCCCTAGAAGCATACACTGTAAACAGGTTAATAAACTATGTGTTTGCTTATTGATGTTATACACAGAATGTGCCTTCTAAGTATATGAAAGGAATTGTTATCAAATTATTTCAATTGTTAGATATTAGATGTTTTCTTCAACGAAGTTAGTATCGACATATGAAGCTAGATTTACTTTTTAATTTAATGACAAAATCCAATCAGATACCGGTCTTTTCTAACAATAAATTGTACACAACACTGGACCCAGGGTTCCGTTAGTATACAATGTATGTGGCTGGACCCAAGGTTCCGTTAGTATACAATGTATGTGGCTGGACCCAAGGTTCCGTTAGTATACAATGTATGTGGCTGGACCCAAGGTTCCGTTAGTATACAATGTATGTGGCTGGACCCAAGGTTCCGTTAGTATACAATGTATGTGGCTGGACCCAAGGTTCCGTTAGTATACAATGTATGTGGCTGGACCCAAGGTTCCGTTAGTATACAATGTATGTGGCTGGACCCAAGGTTCCGTTAGTATACAATGTATGTGGCTGGACCCAAGGTTCCGTTAGTATACAATGTATGTGGCTGGACCCAAGGTTCCGTTAGTATACAATGTATGTGGCTGGACCCAAGGTTCCGTTAGTATACAATGTATGTGGCTGGACCCAAGGTTCCGTTAGTATACAATGTATGTGGCTGGACCCAAGGTTCCGTTAGTATACAATGTATGTGGCTGGACCCAAGGTTCCGTTAGTATACAATGTATGTGGCTGGACCCAAGGTTCCGTTAGTATACAATGTATGTGGCTGGACCCAAGGTTCCGTTAGTATACAATGTATGTGGCTGGACCCAAGGTTCCGTTAGTATACAATGTATGTGGCTGGACCCAAGGTTCCGTTAGTATACAATGTATGTGGCTGGACCCAAGGTTCCGTTAGTATACAATGTATGTGGCTGGACCCAAGGTTCCGTTAGTATACAATGTATGTGGCTGGACCCAAGGTTCCGTTAGTATACAATGTATGTGGCTGGACCCAAGGTTCCGTTAGTATACAATGTATGTGGCTGGACCCAAGGTTCCGTTAGTATACAATGTATGTGGCTGGACCCAAGGTTCCGTTAGTATACAATGTATGTGGCTGGACCCAAGGTTCCGTTAGTATACAATGTATGTGGCTGGACCCAATGTTCCGTTAGTATACAATGTATGTGGCTGGACCCAAGGTTCCGTTAGTATACAATGTATGTGGCTGAAGTGATATTATAGTCGTTCCTCTCAATACTCGACTTCCCTCTTACTAGGCACCCGTCTGTAGTATACATTTGCTGTACCATTAACGTTAAACTTTAAACAAACAAACAGATAAATTATTCATAATATCAGTTCCATATAATATTTGTGTCAATTAGCTGCATCTGCCGCCACCGGTGATTAATCAAAACTGACACCATACTTGAACCGATGGTCAGCAGCATGCCACCAACAAATAACAAGAATAATGATGTTAGATTTTAGCTGCATATATAATACGAGGACTGATGGTCAGTATCCATTGACCAGATACCCGTCAGCAGTACATTAACAGGTTAGTATATTTAGTTATGTTCGCTCCTAACCCTTTGTTCATGTAAAGCTATAACGTGTGTATTCTCCATAACATTCTGTTAACAAGAGCTGAATATAGATATCATTCTGCAATGCATTTATAATTAAATTTTATATTTGTAACTAAAACTAATGTAACACTTGCGAACTTATTGTCCAATCCCTTTAATTACACTTACTTTAAGTCACTGCGAGTTAAGCTATGTGTATATTCATGTGTTTATGACCGGTGTGTCTTTATAGTCAGCAACATACAGATTCGACCTTACCGACACAACCTCAGCAGCACGAACATGAACGTAAGTCTCAAATTTCCGCATATATGTAGATTGGTTTTACTTTTTTGTTTGTTTTACATTAGAGCATTATATTTGATATGGACATAAATGGCGTGAACACTTTGAAGCGTTTTGATTTTCCTTATTCGGTTTTGGTTCAGAGATTAAAAACAATTTAATCATAATTTTATTAATCTTGTATATGTCCTAGAAATTATTGTATACTCTATATGCCTGGAACGGTACGGAAAGTCATTATAACGTACCTCTGAGTGTGGCACGGTCATTTATAGCGTTCCCTTTATCAGATCAGGTTGGCGTTGAGCGCATTTTTGTTTATTTTTGGCAATCCATACAGATGCCGTGTTTCATCTGTGACATGGAAGAATAATGTATAATTATTGAAATGCGTTCAGTTGGAAGCAATGACCAAAAGGAATGTTAACCGGAAATGACTAATACCATGACTGGTGTTTTATTCTCAATTTGAAAAAAACTAACTTTACAATTGAGATCTAATGTAATTGCTTTTTCCTTCGAGCATTTCCGTCCGTCATAATCCAAAAAATCGGTGACCAAATAGGTAATGAAGTTATAGAAGTCATTTTTTTACAGGACTACTTTCTGGTTTGCTACTAACGTTTTGGATCCAACAAAATTGTAACCATAAAAAAGAGTTTCTTTCAAAATTCCTGTCCTGCCAGTTGGTGAAATATAACGTATCTTAAAGTAAGAAACAATCGAAAGGGAATATCCTTTTATTTTAGTTTTAAGGTAAATTTAAGGGTCGAAATGTATTTCAATTTGTCAAAAGATGCAATTCAACTCATCATAGAATATGTTGGAAAAAAACTAGCTTTCATACAATGAACATTACAAATGTTAAGATGATGCATACAAATTCCAAATAAAGTGCTTTATTTAGTACACGTCCTCAGATTTATCCTGTAACACATGATATATTGATTTAACATTATTACAAAGTAAGGTTTAGTTTGTCATGCATTGCCTGCATGTTTAATAAAAATAGTTCGTTATATTTATTTACTGATGGTCTAAATGTACCCATAATTCCCATTTGAAGCATGAAAACGTTGCTTACTTTACAAGTATACACGTATAATCAGTGGTCCTTAATGTATTCCTAATTGTTTTGATTTAGCTTTTCAAAACCTTGAAGGAAACACTTATTGTATTTTCTATTAAACCGTTGTTTAGGCAAAGATGGTAATTTTCGTCGGACTGATGTGCCTGTTTCTGGCAACTGACGTCACCGCCTACTTCTGCCATTGGTGCAACGAAGATCTAAGGATATGTAAACGCTCCTGTCGTGGAATTCGTGGAAGTCGTGGTAGAGGGCGCAACCACCAACACAGCTCAACGTCTAGGTGTCACCTTCCTTGTTATCAGGAGGCTGTTTACTGTCTCAACACATGCGACCAGGACATCCCCTTCGCCATGTCACAGCTAGATGCAGATGATAAGAAAACAGCCTCATCCCTCCAAATGAAAGCAAAAGATCGATCAGGATAATCTTCATGAACTTTAGATTGGCCATCACAATCATTCCTATTTTCTTTAGTGTTTGAAAGATTCAAATTTTCAAAATAAAATAAAATTACAATAATAACAGCTCATTTTCGGTGTATCAGTCCTCATTTATAGCCTTACAGTGCAGTTTCCAAAATGCATACATGTGACGCGATTGCATAGTCGTGAAAACCACCTATTGCATACTCGCATACTCGTTAAAATACACAGATGTAGTTGTCGGTTTGGTTTGTTTGGGGTTTTGTTTTGTTTAAACTCCTATTCATTGTGCACGCAACTGTGTGATTTAATGATCGATCGCCCCGTTGTGCGACAAAACGTGCACATATGTGCGTTTTGGAAGATTGGTTGACGTTACGGAATGAAAACAATCCGGAAGGCTGGAATACAATATGGTACATCTATACGTGTTTAATATTCGATAGGAATATTTTGTACTTTATCTAATTCTTCAATGCACGTTATACATCAATAAAATGACTGCAAAGCAATCAATAAATGGTTTGTACTGTCAGGTACAGTACTAGTACTAAGACGTAGTGAATTGAATGGGGTCGATGATAGTTCATCGATGATTGACAGTTATCAAAACACTACTGGCCTTACCTCTATTAATTGTATCTGTTACGCTCCTTCACGGTTAATTAGTGATACAAAACATGTATACTTTAATTAACAGTAACTGGTAAGGCTGCTTAGTTTTTATTTCATCTCCGTTGACAGTACATACATATATATCTGACTTAAATATGGCATCATACTTAACTAAATCATAACTTATAAATAACATCAATAAAAAACAACATCTGTGAAAATATGTCCAATCTACAAAATGTGCTATACGTGATATCTGCCTTTTACCTGACTAAATATTACCATTATCATTATTACACATAAATGAGGAAAGATATGTTTAAATACAAATCTTGTTTATTCCAAGGCCGTTCCTTAATATGTATACACACGCTATACTCGCAGTTTCCCATCTTGCGCGCATTTTGTAATGATGTGCGATTCTACATATGTATGTTTTAATTATACACACTTAATACTATGTTGACAAAGGCGAAAAAATATCAATGGTTATGATTTAGAGCGTAACGAAAAATAAGAACATAAGTCAATTTTGAAAAAGGGAGGTTGTTCTGAATTAAAAGCTTACTTTGTGCTATTGTATCTGATATTATATATAAGAATAAGGTTGTGACATGCTTTGTGATGACACTGAATGTATTGAGCCATGCTGATAACAATGTGGTAGGGTTTGGTTTTCGTTACGTTTCTAGCCGATATTTATATAGTGCACGGCAATCTCTGACATGTTTCTTCAAGTGGTGGTAATATTAATCTCGGACTCGAAAATGACGAACATGATATACATGCGCATGAAAAATTCAGCATAAACCTATACAAAGGGACTCACCTCTTTATTTTATTTACACCCCTCTCAGTAATCAGGCAGAAACATAGGTCTAACGATAAATGTGTGTGAGGGATTTGTTAGCATTACGTGCGTGTATGACGCAAAGTTATGCAGATGAGCACTGTTTGAACCAATCGGTTGGGCTCAAAAGGCCATTCTCTTTCGCCACGTTTTCTGTTACATACGTCACGGTTTTTTTCTGGTAACACACCCGTACAAGCTCAACTCAGTCTGGTACATGTACGCTGAATTGGGATAGCAATAGACGACACACTATAAGGTGACAGTACCCAAATCGGATCACTTTTTGCAAAAATACTTATAAATGAATAAATGTGTCAACAATGATGTATAACAGTGATGTATAACAATGATGTATAACAATGATGTATAACAATCAGATAATTAGTTTTTTAAGTTCAAATAGCGCAAGAAAACGTTATTCCAACTCAAATGTCAATGTGTGGTTACGTAATTAAAAAAAGGCGCGTGCGACGACTATGCACTCTGTTTTGGACTAAAGAAATAAACTCACACCATAGAAATACTGTTTGTCATATAAATTATAAAGGTCCTCATAAAATGTTAATATGCTGACTAAAACAATATTCATTTGAAGCGTACGATACTGCAAAATTCAAGCCTTGATCTGTTTTGGTACCGACATTCGCAAAAACCGGAGACGCTGATTGGTGACTTCAGAGCGTTCTATACATATCCCTAGTGAACCCCGGGTGCTAATTTCGTTTGTAAGAACACCCATCGATATTCTTTCTTTGATACAACCCTAAATGAATATAATTCCTCCTCAGATTTTTCAATGATATAAAATAATGATGGTTTGGTGATCCGATTTGGGTACTGTCACCTAACACAATACAAGAACACGCCATTTTACCATTTTTTTCTTTTATATGTTAGACCTTGTTGTGGGTGGGACTTAAATGAGTGGCCTCTGGTGCTGTTTTTTTCCGTTACATTATTCTACATTGTGATAACGTACATGCCTCGCTGTCGTATACTCCCTGTACTATCTTGATTGTTTCGATCACATCCGCGCGGTGTCGTCTCTACGTTAGTATAGGTCAGTTCAGCTTTTTAGTCTTTCTTGGTAGGATAGGTTTTGTAATCCATGATAAGCTGTTTGGTGGCTCTTCTTTGTACCCTTCTATTAGGTTTTAAAACCTTCATATCTTTCGCAAACAGGTATGCTTCAGATTCTACTACTTTAGGAAAATCATTGATATAGGTTATAAACAAGAGTGGTTCCAGCACGGATCCCTGTGGAACTCCTGATGTGACTTCTGCCCAGTTTGCATGTCGCCGTTTACCGATGCCCTTTTTTGCATTCTTCCATGCAAAATATCCTGAATCCAGTTTACAATATTACATATTTTTGTTTTTCTATTTATCTTTTATGTGGAACTGTATTGAACACTTTTTGAAAGACCATATACAGTTGTGGGATCGATTAACGTTACACGATGTGCGGTGTGTGAACGATGTGTGCACGATGTGTGAATGATGAAAAGTTGGACGATCATTGCTTGCGCACATTTGTGCGCACGATGGACGAACGTTTTTCCTTACGGTCATATGGTATCGCAAATCAGCTCAATGTGTCAGACACAGGCCAGGTAAAACTCCGGTCACTCATCAGATTGGTATTTACCTGTGTTCTGTTACCTGGGAGCCAAACCAATTCCTGACAGTCTAACGGTCACTGTAATGCTGTGTAACACGCATTGTAAAATTATACAAAATCTTAACTATTGTGATGAGAAATTACAGTTATACATGTATCCAGTGTACATTATTGCATACCACCTGTCCGTATTGTTTTGGCCAGATATAAAACCATACTGTTTATTGCTAAATAACTTGTTTTCTTTCATATAATCCATGACGTGTCGTTTTACTACGTTTTCCATTACTTTGCACACAATCGGTGTCGATAGTTCCCAGCAAATCATTAGCTATGCTCAAGCTCATAACATACCCAAATATCATGACTCTAGTCCAAATGGTTCTTAGGATATTGTTGTTTAATGTTTTTAACATATTTGAGCCCTGCGACATTGAAAGTGGGTCAAGGTCATATCAATGAGGATAATTTATAGTACTCCGACCCAGGTACCTACTGGCCAAATATCATGACCCTGTGCCTTATGGAACTTGAAAAGAAGATTGTTAAAGCTTTAAACCCATGTCGACCTTTGACTCCGGCTAGCACTTGAAGTTGACATTTGACCTCATTACTGTAATGAAGAAAATGATTTGCACTGATGGTCTACATAACATACCCAAGTATCATGACTCTAGACCAAATGCTTCGTAGGATATTTATTTTTTTTTTATTTTTTTTTACATATTTGACTCCTGTGACCTTGAAAGTAGGTCAAGGTCCTTTTAATGACGAAACCTTATAGCACTTTATCCCAGGTACCTACTGGTCAAATAGTATGACCCTCGGCCTTGTGGAACTTGAAAAATATTTGCACTGCTGGTCTTCATAACATACCCTGGTGTCATGACTCTAGTCCCAATGGTTCTTAGGATATTGTTATTTGAAGTTTTTTAAAAGAATTAAGAGTTAATGCTTGAAAAAAATATGCCTCCTTGTGATAACGCGGATCTGATGCCGACTTCATAGTGACGATGAGAGTCATTAAGGTCAAACACAAAAATGAAATCATCGAGCTAAATATAAAAATAGGTTTAAATACGTAACACATGTATAAATATATAAATGACAAACGGATTTATGTTAAAATATTTCATATAATATTGGTACAGTAAACTAATTAATTAATTTATGAAATTATTTTTTTATGGAAGATAAATTAGAATCTGTCGTTTGAAATCAGCGCATTTCTTAAATGGATTCAATGGTTTGGTTTCATATATCTTCACCATATCGCTACATTTTAGAATATATCAGTCATTATGTTTGTAAATTACCTTAGCTGTTAATTGCGTGTTAAAAATGAAATCATACATGCGAAATGTTGTATACATAAAGGGATATAACTCTTACGGAAGAACTTAATTAAAACGCATGGACATAGCTACAGACAAGTATTAACTTTCCAAAAAGATAAGAGGGCTATAATCAGCATTATTTATGAGTAAGCAGTTACAGTAAAGTTTGAGATAAATGGGTATGTAGAGGCTCGCGTAGTTATGCTGAGAAAGTTATTTAAAATATATATAATTTGGTGGACAACTGTTGACCTGTTGGTCAGGTGGTACTGTGGAGTTTCTCTCTAATACGCATGTTGTGAACAAGGCTACGTCGCATAACTGCAGGATTATTCCTCAGTTGAGGAACAGGCCTTTTCAATGTCTGTACAATCCCTGTTACATAGTATATATATGTGATTTAGTGTAAATGCCCTAGCAGGGGCAGCAATATCCAATGAGAAAGAGATAACATGAATACTTAAAATATAAGAATCAATGACAATTACAACGCAAGATGGCAGGTCACAATAATACCAGTACCGGATTATCAGGACCAGCATGGTTTTTTTTGTTTTAAAAGTTATTATGCTATTTCTGTTTTAAATCAGAATGCAATGTATATTTTTGATATAAACTTTATCAATGTTGGTAGTTGCATTAAAAAGCATGAAAGAAACACATTAAAGCACTAGGTCCTGG